TTACCAGAAGGTCTCACGCTCCAGTGCCCCCCCCTTGCTGTCCCGAATCCTGCCGGTCACGGCTCCAGTGGAGCTAGCAGCAGGCCGGGGTGCGGCTAGAGGGCACACGGAGGGAGTGAGCTTCAGCTGGTTCTAAGAGGAGGATGCCTCACACACACACTCATACATACTTCCTTTCGTTCCCCCAGACCCTTTAACCTAATAGATTTAAATTTGGTGGCACTTACCCTCTTTCCTGGTAGCTGTTCGAGCATAAGACTCAAAAACTCCCTGTACTACCCGATGCCGACCGGGCAGGGTCCGAGGAGGCTTCCCCACGGATCAAAGTGTCCGCTGCCGGCTGGGTGATGACTCTTCCGGGCCCGGTCCGGTGGCTGGGTGAGCTGGAAGTCCCTTCGTGGTCGCCAGATTGTTGGGAGGAACTCCCCCGTTCGGTCCTTCCAGCCGGGATTCCCCTTGACGGCGCAGAAGAAATAGATCGTGAAGCCAGCTACCGGAAAGAGGTTTAATTTCGAGGATCAGCGTTGAGTGACAATTCAGCTCGGGTCCCCGGCTAGCTAGACAGAGTGATCTTTAAACAGGGGTTTTTATACCCTTTTGTGGTTTCCAAACTTGTCATTTCTGATTGGTAACAAACTTATCATTTCTAATTGGTGAGTTTGAATCTGCCTTTTCTGATTTGTTGGTCAGTGACTATTGTTGGTTAAATTTCTTTGCTAATCCTGCCTGAAAGGTGTTAATTACTTTATTGTTGTGTCCTGATTGTTGCTAGCTGGTTCCTCATTGTGTGTGTCAAGTGTTTGCCATTTAGCCTCAGGCTGCTGTTGACCCAGTTTAGTTGGGGTATTCCTAGATTATTTCTTGGTTGGGCTGGGGAGGGGGTGTCCAACTCTCATCAGTAGACTATGTCAAATAGTTTTGACTCTATTTGTATTTATTTCATTTATATCCTACTGCAATCCTAGTACCGAGATATATAATTAAAATGTTTATATTAAAAGCTTTAAATGTAAAAATAAAACATAATAGAAAATATTTTGATGCCAGCTCTCTTAAGTTCTTTTAGTAGTTCCTTGTTCACTGTCCAGGTTCCCCAGAATGGAGTTCTGGACACTTATTAGCTTTAACATGTTCCATTCTAGCATGTCAATACAAGAAAAGTAAATCTTATAATATTTTTATATCTCCATTATACATATTTATGTTAGCTAACCAAACTCATGTACTCTATCCGCCTTTCTTGAAATCTGCAGGGTCATTTGGCTTTTATGTGTAAGGTCCCAGTCCCTTACATGAATTTGAGATACCATATCAATCTAATCAGATAACCCAAGCGGAAAATTCTTGATCAAGTAGCACTTTATTTGATCAAATTAAGCAGCTGGGTGGCCAACAATCTGGAACGCTGACAGAGTCACGTCCAGAAGTGCCACACCTTAGAAAGTTGGTAGCATTGCTTTATAAACTTTGTTAGCCAATGAAAATCAGACAACAGAGACATTATATTATAAGAAAGACATCAATCATTCCTGTACACTCCCTTATTCCCTCCAGTATATCCCATCCATGTACATGTTTTCCAAGCTTGCGTGAGATTTTTCTGGTGCAAAAGCTGATTACAAAAAGCAAGAAAGCAACACTAAACAATTTCCCTTTAGCATGTCAATACAAGAAAAGTAAATCTCATAATATTTTTATATCTCCATTATATATATTTATGTTAGCTAACCAACCTCATGTACTCTATCTGCCTTTCTTGAAATCTGCAAGGTCATTTGGCTTTTATGTTTCCATGGGTATATTCACCGTAAAATGGTGAACAAGACATGTAATACTGTCCTGTACTTTATTTCATTGCTACAAATATATTGATCAGACAGAACAATTAATCAGTGAAATGACTTGCCTACAGAAGTTATGGGTGCTTCAACACTGGAGATTTTAAAGAAGAGATTGGACAAGCCTCTATCTGAAATGGTATAGGTTTCTTGTTTGAGCAGGAAGTTGAACTAGATACTAGAAGACCTCCAAAGTCCCTTCCAAGTCTGTTATTCTGCATTTCCAAATCCTATTGATGCCAATGGGACTGTAACTTTAAGCAATTTTACCAGGATGGATGGAGAACAGAGCTTATATTTAAAATACATTTAGCCATACAATAAAAGCATGTATTTACTTGAGGCTGGATTTAACAACAAATCGGGAGGTGAGAAATTGCTTTGTCATTATTGCAACAGAGACTTGGTTAAAGCCCTCTGTCCCAGATAGAGCTGTTAGCTTGATGGGATTTTCAATGTTTCAGCTGGACAGGAGTTTTACTCTTAGTGGCAAATCCCGGGGAGGAGGTGTCTGTTTTAATATAAATGACAGATGGTGTAATAATGCCAGGGTGGTTTCAAGTCTGTGCTCCCCAGATGTAGAGCTTCTGACCATCAAATGCAGACCTTTCTATATGCCTAGACAATTCTCTGTTACCATTATCACAGCTGTGTATATCCCCCCTGATGCAAACAGAGGTCATACCATCAGTGGCTTACAAACTACTCACTCAGAGGGTGCATTTATTGCAGTGGGTGACTTTAACCAAGTGAATTTGAAAGCTACCCTGCCACATTTCCATCAATATGTGGACTTTGCAACCAGAGGGGACAATACACTGGATCTTGCTTATTCCAACATCAAGAAAGCTTTCAAAGCTATCCCCCGCCCTCACCTGGGCTCCTCTGACCATCTCTCAGTGCTGTTTATTCCAGCATATAAACCTTTATTAGAGTGAAACCTACAGTAAAGCAGGTGAGGGTTTGGACAGAGAGAGCTACAGAAGCACTACAAGACTGCTTTGAGTGCACAGATTGGGGCATGTTTAAGGAAGCAGCTACTGATAACCAAGATACAAATATTGAGGAGTATGCCACCATGCTGTCTACATATATCCAAAAGTGCATAGAAGATGTCTGTGTCTTGAAAAGCATTGTTGTGAGGGCAAATGAAAAACTGTGGCTGACTTATGAGGTCTGCAAGATGCTGAAAGCACGGAATGTGGCTTTTAAATCTGGTGACATGCTGGCACTTAGAACAGCCAGAGCAAATCTGAAAAGTGCCATAAAAGGTGAAAAGCAAGCCCATTGCCAGAAAATTCAGAATTTTTTTCAGGACCCAACAAACACCAGGCGAATGTGGCAAGGGATCCAGGCCATTATGGATTACAAGGTGGCTCCATCGAGATGCAAGGATGACACAGACTTCCTAAACAAACAATGCATTTTTGGGTAGATTTGAGGCATCAAATAGCACTCCTGCTAGGAAAGCAGTGCCCCATCATCTTGCCAGTGCCAAAAAAGTCCACAATTATAGGCCTCAATGATTACAGTCCGGTTGCACTGACATCCACCATCGTGAAATGCTTTGAGAAGCTGATAAAGGACACTTGTATCTAGCCTCCCACCAGCTTTTGACCCGCTTCAGTTTGCGTACCGATCAAATCGCTCTACGGATGATGCTATTTTTTCCGTTCTCCATCTGAGCCTGAAGCACTTAGAGGAAATAAATACTCATGTGTGTTTGTTGTTTGTTTAACACAATAATTCCCCAGCATCTAGTAGACAAACTGGGCCTTTTAGGCTTAAACACTCCTTTGTGCAACTGGATTCTTGATTTTCTTACCAACAGGCCCCAATATGTGCGAGTTGGAACAAATACCTCTAATACTATTTTCTTCAGCACAGGTTCTCCTCAGGGCTGTGTCTTAAGTCCGCTGCTGTTCACCCTGTTGACCCATGATTGTTGTGCTAGGTTTGCCACCAACCATAATGTGAAGTTTGCAGATGATACAACAGTAGTGGGCCTTATTCAGGATGACAAGGTGGAAGCTTACCGCAAGGAGGTTGAAGGGTTGTTGAACTGGTGTAAGGAAAACAGCCTAGTTTTAAATACCGGAAAAACCAAAGAGATAATTGTTGATTTCAGAAAAGGCAGGTACAGCCACACTTCTCTGTGCATAAATGATTCACCTGTGGAGATGGTTACCAGCATCAAATTCCTAGGTGTACAGCTAACGAGTAGGCTGACTTGGTCGCTCAACAGTGAGAAACTGGTGAAGCGGGCACAGCAGTGCCTGCATTTTCTGTGCCGCATGAGAAAAGCACATCTTCCTTCCCCTGTCCTGACCACTTTCTACACGAGAGCATCCTGTCATACAGTACCACAGTCTGGCTTGGAGGCATCACTGCTTCAGACAGGAAGGCGATGCAGAGAGTGGTGAGAATGGCTGAAAAGATCATTGGCAGTTCCCTCCCTCCCATCCAGGACATAGCAAAGAAGCGCTGCTTGAGCAAGATTATCTGGGACACTATGCATCCTCTTCATGACCTGTTTTCCTTGTTACCTTCTGGGAGGAGGCTTCGTGGTATCCAAAGCAGAACATCCAGCTTCAGCCATAGTTTCATTCCATACAGCATTAACCTTGCGAACTCTCAAGCTTCCTCCTTCCATTATATATTCAAGATGGACAATATTTAATATTTATTGCTACTTATATGTAGGATGTGGGTCTATACATATGTTGTTCACACTATGTTTAGATGTGTGTCATGTACATGTTTCACTTTTGAGAGTGGGCAACTAAATTTCATTTTTGATGTGTGCCCTTGTGCCCACAGTATAAAAATGACAATAAAGGTTATCTTATTAGAATTAGAGAGAGCTAATTCGATGTAGTGGTTAAGTCATCAAGCTAGAAACCGGGAGACTAAAATCTAGTCCCGCCTTAGGCATAAATCTTGGGCTGGTCACTTTCTCTCAGTCCTAGGAAAGAGGCAGTGGCAAACATTTTCTGGGGGGGGGGGGAACTTTGCCAAGAAAACTACAAGAGCTTGTCCAGGCAGCCTCCGAGAATCGGACATGATTAAAGAAGGAAGAGATATCTACATATTTAAGTAAATCCTACTACACGTGGTTTTATAATAGAATTAAAATGAGAAATTACTTTTAAACTTATAAAACTTTTTTTTGTAATGTATGTGTTTGTAATCAATTTAAAAAGAGAAAGCAAGTTTCTGCAATTACAACCCCAGTTCAAACCATCTTAGGATAGAGACAGAGAAAGAGAAAATCAACGGACTTTCTAATTTTATCCCCCGGCGGAAGTCCCCTGATAAAGCAACTTCAAACACGGAAGTGCTTTTTAAAGCACATTGAGAAAAATACAAGAGTAACACTACTCATCGACTTCCGAGTTCCTTTAATATCCCGGAACAGTGGATTAACAATAGAAACGACAGAAATCTGCTATAGCTTTGTAAATTACTACGTAGCCCGTCAATCTAACCCCCCTTTCAGTTTGCAAAGGGTAGGAATCATTGTATGATGTCCTCCGTTTTTTCCTTCGAGATCTTTAAAAAGCTGTTGTTTCAAGCAAAAGAAAAAAAGTTAGCTCTAAATCAGTAATTCTTCTCTCCGCAGGAATCCCTTTTCAGGATTCGTTCTTCCTTCCGCCAAACAAGAATGGGATGTTTGCCTTTCTGCTCTCCGAAAAACAATGGGAATGTCTGACGAACTTTGCAGCATGTAAGTATATCCTTTATAGTTTCGTAGGTCTACAGCCCTGCTTTTCTGCTCCCTAAACTGCACTCTGTCGTGCCCTTGCGCAGCAGTCCTCTATATGGGAAAAAAAGCTTATTTAGACTGTTCGCCAAGTAAAAACAGCAAAATACTGTTGCGATCATCTTCTTCCTGCCTTTCGGCTTCTTAGAAGCAGCCTTTCTCCCCCCCCCCGTAACTGTCCCTCAGATGTATTTTACTACAGCGCCCATTATCTATGCCGAGTCTTCATGCAGACTGGATTATGGGATTTGAAAAAAAAAATGGAGCGTGGGAGAGAAGGAACATTTTCTATTTGGGTTGTCCTTAATAATTCATTAGGTTGCAGCATATCTCGACGTAACCTCAGGAAATAGACTCATAGCTTGTTGTATCATCCCTATAGTGGCTGCATTAGTACTTTAACTTATACACATCAGGATTGCCTTTTTCAGCCTGTATGAGCCCTGATATATTAAAGAGAAACTCCTTGGGGTCTGTTTTGAAAGGCGAGAACTGAAGCTGGAAGGCACTGCTTCTTAGCGGTAATGCCAGTGTTGGGGAATGATCTTCCTATGGAGATCAGGTTAGCCCCCACCTGGGGTGAGTTTCAGAAAGCTCTTAAGGTTTATTGGAGGATAAATGAGGCATCAGATTTTAGTCTTTATTTTCATGAATTTGAGTCTTTCAGAGTTGTCCTTTAAGATGCGTGGCCATAAAAATATAAATAAAACAATAAACTAAAATCTGAGCTTTTTAGACTGTTTCAATTATGCTTATCTATTGTGTCATTTACTGTTTTACTTTTCCTATTTTTTTTATTGTTATACCAGATATTAGCCATTTGTGTTATGATTTAGTTTATTTTTGTTCTTCATCCTGTTGTAGATGTTTTAATATTTTAATCCTACAGAGGATGTGGAAGGTATTTGTGTATGTACTGCTGAGACATGTCACATATAACTTCAATAAATAAATATTTTTTCCCCAATAGATTATCGGCAATAGATTGAACAAGAAGTATCTTGGAAATTCACTGGTTTAAAGGTTGCATCTACCTACCAAAAAGGAGCAATATTTTATTAAAATAATCTAAAACTGCTTTCACTGCTTCTGAAAAGAAATGAGCTCATCACACTGAACCCAATGGTTTGAAAGATTCTGAACAGCGCCAAAGCTTCCATTGCTTTTGATGCTTGATTATTTTATTTCCTCAAAACATGATATTCCAGTTCCCATGGAAGAAATGCTTCCCATTATATTATGTCCTCAAAGTTCCAGCTGCTGGCTTCAAAAGTACAAAGGAAAGAGGGCTTATCCTACAGTCCGTGTCTCAGGATGTTTACCAGAATTTAGCATTAGAGGATTGGATCCATGATAACATGGATTTAGAAAAGAGACATGTTCTCCTCCTCTGGAGAAATTCTTCTGCTGTAGTGATCGGTCGGCATCAGAATCCCTGGCAAGAATGTAACCTTGGAGTCATGAAGCAGAAGGGGATAAGACTTGCTCGAAGAAGAAGTGGAGGAGGTGCAGTTTACCATGACACAGGCAACATTAATCTGACCTTCTTCACCGACAGAAAAAAATATGAAAGAATTGAAAATTTAAAACTAGTTGTCAAAGCTTTGAAGTCCCTGAGACCCCAGCTAGATGTTCAGGCTACTGAGAGATATGATCTCTTGTTAAATAAAATCTTTAAAATTTCAGGAACTGCTGCAAAATTAGGAAGAACAGCTGCTTATCACCACTGCACTTTACTGTGCAATACTGATAAATTAGTTCTAACATCTGTGTTAAAGACTCCTAACAGTGGAATCCAAAGTAACGCCACACCAAGTGTGCCTGCATTAGTGAGAAATCTCTGTGAAGAAGATCCCACATTAACTTGTGAAATGCTTATGGAAGCCATTGCTGGCGAATATGCTTCACATCATCATGCTGAAAACCATATCCATGTCATAAATCCAGCCGATGAAACAGAATTCCCTGGAATTAACAATAAAGCCATAGAATTAAAAGCCTGGAATTGGCTATATGGAAAAACACCAAAGTTCAAAATCAGCACATCCTTTAATATAGGACATGAGGAATCCAATGTTGAAATTCAGATAAATATGGATATAAAGAATGGTAACATTGAAGCTTGCCAAATAGATGTACCTCAGAACTGGCTGCCACTGGATGTGTGTGTGGAACTCGGGAACAGCCTGATTGGCAACAGGTTTTACCCAAATGAAAGCATTGCCATGGCAACTGCTTTGCTGAGAACTTGGGCAGATTCTACATTACACAGCAAATTGCATATCTTATGTGAGAAGATTGTAACATTAATGTAACTTTTATGTGATGAACTGGATTCTTGGATATAAAGTTAGTAGTTTGTTAATACAAGATTGTCATGTATGATTTTAGAAGAGGTCAGTGAATGTACACAGATTTAACCTTACATAGTTACATAATTACTGAACAAAAATAACACTTGAATATAAAGTTCCTTTTTTTAAAGGGAGATAGTTAATTGATACTGCAGTCTTCTCAAATGTGAACTCCAGAGTTTAATGGAACTTGAAGTAACTTACAATAGAGTTGCAACCAAGAATGCAATTATGATAATAATAATACACTGTTGGATGGGGGAAATGTGGATGGAAAGCTATAACTAATAATCGTTTTCAAATTCAATATATTACTGGTCCAAACACCCAACTTATGCCACATTTGAGCTGATGTTGAAACATTACTCCTCTTATAATCAACAAAATTTAAAAGATGTCTTTTGTGCTGGATAAGAGTTGCCTCAAGGTGAAATAGGTGGCAAATAAATCTAATAACATATTAGCAACCTTATGAAAGGTTATTTGGCTTCTTTTCCTTTAAATTACTTTTCACCAGTTCTTACTTCACCATTCTAGTAAGAACAGAAGATCTGTATTGGGGTGAAAAGTACATTTTTTAAAAAAACAAGCCTTTATTTCAAAAGTTTTATATTCTTTTGATTAATCCAAATTTATTGACATAAAAATTAAAAAAACTAAAAGGTATACAAATTACAAATTTAAATATACAATATTATTAAAAAAGATTTCAAGAAATGCAAATTTCCCTGACATACTGGATCAGATGTTTAGATTTGATCATTTATTTGATTCCAGAGTTATCAGTATTGTATAATAATTTTATTGGAGTAAAAACTGGGGTAGATTCTGAAGAGAGAGAAAAAACTAATTACAAGAATTGGCATGTTTCAAAGCAGGTCTTAGGAATGGTACATCAAGACTAGAAAGGTTCTTTAAAAAAAACCCATAGGTGGAATATGAGCTGTAAATTGCAAGCATGTACAATATTTTGAAAGTTCAGAGGAATACATGGCTCAGCTGACGGGCCATGGTGTAATTTTCATCCATGCTGACTGGATAGATATGTGTATGGTAGTGGCATGGTTTTTGTAGCTTGCCCCCCCCCCCAAAAGCAGGTGGACTCTATTGTTGAAAGTACATCAGCACGCCATATGTTAAGTGACTGCTGTGTAACTGTCCAAAATCCTCTCCATTCAGCACCCTAATGTTCAAAGTATCTGGCAGGTACCTTTTTTTCGCTATATATAATAGTTTGATATAACTTCAAGAGATTGTAGCTAGTTCTGTTTTTAGACTGCTAAATTCAAAAGTAGAAAAAGTCCTTGGCTTATGATAGCAACTGACTGGAATTGCTATTGCTAAGTGATGCAGTCATAAAGTGGGACAGCAGTTTTGCAGGGCTGCCATTAAATGAGGATCATTAAACAAACAGCTCACGTGAATCACAACTTCAAGCCAGCTTTCCCTCTGACTTTGTTTGTGGAAAATTGGCAGGGAACATTGGAAATCACAATCACATGACCACAGCTCCCTGAGACAACATAATCTTGAGCGGGGCATCAAGTGCCCAAATGGCATTCATGACTGTGGAGATCAAGTGCCCAAATGGCATTCATGATTGTGGGGACACTGCAACAACTAAACTATGAGGAAACCATTTGTTCAGTGCTGTCGTAACTTGAATGAACCTGTATCTATTTCTAAGTTCATTTCGGCTATTTATTCAATGATTCCAGTCATTGCAATTTTGAAATATATTCAGTAGTGTTGTTTTAATTTATTAATTCTTTCAGTATTTTTTAACCTGAGGTCAGTTGAAATAAAAATATTGTTTTCCTTTAAACAAAATTTAACTATTGAAGCCTCTTTTAAGGATATATTGAGATAAACGTATCTTTTTACTTAAACAAAAATTTATTTTATAAAAAAGCACATTAAATATATATCTTACAAGGATTTTTATCTAGAAAATGAGTGGTTTCAGAAGGAATCATGCTTTCTTTGTGTACTTATTGTGAAAGATGTCCACAGTAGTTTCATGACAAGGTCTCAAATCAAAGTCACAATATCCAAGGAAAAAACGACCCTGTAAAAAGATTTTTTTTTCTTAGCAAAAAATTCAGGAACTCTGTAAAAAAAAGAAAATAAAAACAAAATCCCTTACCTGTGGTTTTTTAAAATAATCAAGGCCTCTTCCGATTTTAAACATCCATCCATTGTTGAATCTGTGTTTTAAATACAAGAATATAGAAGCATAATATTCAAAAATATAAGCATGGCAAGAGTATGTTTGCAGATAATTATATTTGATAGTTTAGGAAAAATATGTGTATTTAAAAGATATTTTAATTGCCTTTTAAAATTAATAGACATAACATTAGATTTCAGTTTGGAAATCTGGCCTATCCTAGGCACAGCTATTTTTCTCACAGGCATATAAATGTATATTGAGATAGAAAAATATTTTTCCCATGAAAATTGATTGCCAAATGCTATTAAAACAGCATCCTTATAACTATCATTTTCAATCTGTCTTTCTGTTTTAATAGATCTGAAAATCTTTAATACAGTAATGTATTACACACACAAACACAAATTTGTTAATAAAGAACAGCAAATATTTTAAGTCTGTAAAGTCTTTTGGAATTTTGTGAGCGTGTTATGGATGCTCTCACAGAATTACTGCACATAGAAGGCATCTACATTTACAAAATACATAGTTAGGGTCAAAAGATGAGGACTGCAACACTCTAATAGTCAATAGATGGTAGCAAAAAGATACAGTATTGTTTTTGTAGCTGAAATCCTATTATGTGCAAGAAAACAAACTTCTGCAGTTTTTACCTGTCAACTCCCAGCTAACCAGGATGCCCCAGTATTTCAAAATGGATTGGGGCATTATTGTAAATGAAGCTGAAGTTAAGGACTTATGCTTTGTTTTTAAGCTCATTATGTTTTGCTTAGATTCTTTCAATTAATAAGAAATGGTGGAAATGTTTCTGAATACCCTGAGGCCTATAGACATCTACTATCTATCCATATTTTAGAAAGCACAATATTAATCAAAATTTAGTACAATATTTATATTTTTTACTATACAGTAATTTTACATAACACCAACCTAATCTCTCGATCATGTATTGAAGAAGAGTATGATATATCCAGTGTAATGCCAAAATCCCTTAGAGACTGTTGTATTTCTTCTAAGGAACTCATCTGTTGACTCTTTCCATGACCCTGTTAAGATATTTTATAATTTAAACTTGAATAGACAATTGAAACCTTGTTAATTCAGAATTCTCTAAAAAACATTACTATTTTTAATTTTTAATTAGGCCATCTTAACATTGTTTTCAACCCCAACCTACAAATTATTTAATGAAGAGAAACCTGTATGAATTATTATTTTTCTGTGTAAATGATAACTTGTAAAAAAAACCCTTAAGATTCAAAATCTTAAAAGACAATGCAGTAAAAGTGCTACACTCAATTTGCCAGCAAATTTGGAAAACTCAACAGTGGCCACAGGATTGGAAAAGATCAGTTTACATTCCAATTCCAAAGAAAGGCAATGCCAAAGAATGTTCAAACTATCGCACCATTGCACTCATTTCACATGCTAGTAAAGTTATGCTTAAAAGCCTACAAGCTAGACTCCAGCAGTATGTGGATCGAGAACTACCAGAAGTACAGGCAGGATTTCGAAGAGGCAGAGGAACTAGAGATCAAATTGCCAACATATGCTGGATCATGGAGAAAGCTAGGGAGTTCCAGAAAAACATCTACTTCTGCTTCATTGACAATGCTAAAGCCTTTGATTGTGTGGATCACAACAAATTGTGGCAAGTTCTTAAGGAGATGGGAGTACCAGACCATCTCATTTGTCTCTTGAGAAACCTATATGCGGTCAAGAAGCAACAGTGAGAACTGGACACGGAACCACTGATTGGTTCAAAATTGGAAAAGGAGTCCGGCAAGGCTGGATACTGTCGCCCTGCCTATTTAACTTATATGCAGAGCACATCATGAGAAAGGCAGGGCTAGATGAATCAAAAGTTGGAATTAAGATTGCCGGGAGAAATATCAACAACCTAAGATATGCAGATGATACCACTCTAATGGCAGAAAGTGAAGAGGAACTAAACAGCCTCTTGATGCGGGTGAAGAAGGAGAGTGCAAAAGTTGGCTTGAAACTCAACATTAAGAAAACCAAAATCATGGCATCTGGCCCCCTCAATTCCTGGCAAATAGATGGGGAAGAAATGGAGGTAGTGACAGATTTTATTTTCCTGGCTCCAAGATCACCTCAGATGGGGACTGCAGCCAAGAAATTAAAAGACGCTTGCTCCTGGGGAGGAAAGCTATGGCAAATCTAGACAGCATACTAAAAAGCAGAGACATCATCCTGCCAACAAAAGTGCATATAGTCAAGGCCATGGTTTTCCCAGTTGCAATGTGTGGCTGTGAAAGGTGGACCATAAGAAAGGCTGAGCGACAAAGAATTGAGGCCTTTGAACTATGGTGCTGGAGAAGACTCCTGCGAGTCCCTTGGACTGCAAAGCGTTCAAACCGGTCAATCCTAGAAGAGATCAACCCCGACTGCTCTTTAGAAGGCCAGATCCTGAAGTTGAAACTCAAATACTTTGGCCACCTAATGAGAAGGACTCACTGGAGAAGGGCCTAATGCTGGGAAAGATTGAGGGCAGTAGAAGAATGGGACGACAGAGAATGAGGTGGCTGGATGGAGTCACTGAAGCAGTAGGCGTGAACTTAAATGGACTCCAGAAGACGGTAGAGGACAGGAAGACCTGGAGGAACATTGTCCATGGGGTCGCGATGGGTCGGACATGACTTCGCAATTAACAACAACAACAAAGAAAACCCTGATTCCAGAACACAGAAGCCAAATATAAAAACATAGAAACAATAGGCCTCAGAGACTAGTGGGAAAGCCAGAGGAAGATTTCCCCTCTGTGATTCTGATATCTACTACTATACAATACAGATTTTCAGAGTAAATAATTTGTAAAGCACTAATACAAAATATAATATTAGAAATGGTAGTAAAACTGTATCTCAGCAGTAGGGGATAAACTTAGATGCAAAAGATACGTAATAAAACTTTTTTGACATTCCTGTAAATATTGAAAAGAAACTTTGAGGAACTATTACAATAAACATATAAAATACTGAGCCAAAAACAATAATTTGATTCAATATCTTCCATTTTTTTCTAATTATCAACTTAAAATTGATATTATCTTACTGTAAAACATACCTACATTTAGCTTTTTTTACATTATTCTTACCCAAAGCAAAATTCCCATTAATATAAAGTATTTCATTTTAATGCAAGTGATAGCAGTCTTTTTCATCCACAAATTGATTTTTCCATCAATTGCTTTTCTGACCCAAAATGTGATAGAAATAAAATATTATTTACAGAATGAAAATTCTTTTCTGCATTCTAATCATGGTGATCACAATAATACTTCCATTCAGCTGAGTAAAAGGACATTCATGCAATCCTAAATATAAGAAATAATTCTTACTAAATTTTGTAATATGATTACAGTCATAAATACTTACTTCTTCATGAGAGGTAAGAAGGTGTATAGTTTTCATTCTGCATGGTCCTTTAGCAAGCATTTCACAGAATCTTAAGAAGTTGTACAACTATAGAAAATTAAATAAGATTAATTTTTCAGATGGAAAAGGGCAAAATATCTTGATTAATTGCAGCAGTGCTATCTCACCTGATGGGCTTGGCGAATGTAAGGATCCTCAACCCAAACCTCTGTAACAGTTTCATTTAGATACTCTTGGAACAATTTTTCATAGCTGAATCCTTTGCTATTCTCTTCAATTTTTATTTGTTTGTGGCATTTCCCATCTAAGCACAAGAGCAAACTTTCACTAAGCATCCCACTTCATTACAGTTATGGCTGAATTAAAAAGACCTTCCATTATAACTTCATACCTTCTTTTTCCTTCATAACATATTTTTTAATTTTTTCCGCTCTGTTCATGTAACTTGATATTTTGTTTCTGTAGTAAGCCTTTTTATTCTCATCTTTTGTAGCTGCAAACAGAAGACATGAAAGAAATGAAAAATGGAAAAAGAATACCTATACCTATACTGCCCACTCCCCTTCTTCTGGACAGTTGAAAGAACAGGTAGTCCTTAACTTACGACCACAATAAGGGCCAGAATTTCCAAGGTAAATCATTGTAGTTATACGGTGAGTGGGACATGATTCTACAACAAATATTTACAGGGGTCATCAAGCGAATCCAGCTTCCTCAATGGGCAAGTCTATTGGCAAAAAAAGTTGCAAATTACAATAAGAAGTTACAAGAAGCTGCAATTGGCTGTAAATGCAAGCTGTAACCAAGTGCCTTATTTTGCAATTATGTGACTGTGGGTGTGATGTGATGGTCACCACAAGTGCAAGTACAGGTCGTAAGTCACTGTTTCCAAGGCCACTTAAACTTTACAGCGGTCGTCACATATGACCATTTAACAATGGTTAAATGAATGGGCACAAGTAAGGAATCTGAATGTGTTCTGAGATCTTAAGAAAATATTGTGATTAGTATACTTTCTAAAAATGTATAATAGAAGCCTTTTTCTTCAGAGGGATTTATGTTTTCGGCATTTAATTATGGCTGCTTGGAGTTGCACTGCACAGCCCATCAACAAAGCACCTTGCTTTTCTTCCCTAACTCAAACTCCAGTGTCCCACAGTGTTGTGGAACACCGCACAGCTCAGGTTAGGAAAGGACAGCATGCCATTCCATTGCTGGGCCATGCAGTATGATTGCGGAAGCAGCCTCTATTTTCCAAGTGGCTGTATTGAATTGCAGCCACTCAGAAAATGGCAGCTGCTTCTGGAATTGCACCACACACAGCCCAGCAATGGAGCAGCTTATTTTACTTCCCTAACCTGAGCTCTGAACCTCTTTGAAAGGTAAGTGTGTGATGGCTGACACTGAGTAAGGAGAGTGTGGGCCCCAGTGGTATAGGAAGCAGGCTCAAGGCCTGCAGGGACTCTGAAGGTTAGAAAGTGAAGCATGGGATACCTCAGGGAGTAGGGGAGGCTTTGGGAGACCCAGGACAGGTCCCGCACTAGGCTTCCCCTGGAGCACCCTATACTTCATTTAAAGACTGCATTGGGAAGGCTGTAGGATTCAATGGAAACTTAATGCAAATTTTCCAAGATGAAATAATAGTCTGAAATCAGAATCTAGAAGTACTTTGTAGAAAAGCCTTCCATCTCTGAAACTTTTCCTTAACTTGCATTTAGTTTGAAACTTTTCCCAATGCTTTCAGGTAGCCATTAAAATTCATTAGAACCAGAATGGGGACTCACGGAGCATTATTTTTCTGCTTAAAAATTGTTGTTGTTAATTGCGAAGTCGTGTCCGATCCATCGCGACCCCATGGACAATGTTCCTCCAGGTCTTCCTGTCCTCTACCGTCTTCTGGAGTCCATTTAAGTTCACGCCTACTGCTTCAGTGACTCCATCCAGCCACCTCATTCTCTGTCATCCCGTTCTGCTACTGCCCTCAATCTTTCCCAGCATTAGGCCCTTCTCCAGTGAGTCCTTCCTTCTCATTAGATGGCCAAAGTATTTGAGTTTCAACTTCAGGATCTGGCCTTCTAAAGAGCAGTCGGGGTTGATCTCTTCTAGGACTGACCGGTTTGAACGCTTTGCAGTCCAAGGGACTCGCAGGAGTCTTCTCCAGCACTATAGTTCAAAGGCCTCAATTCTTTGTCACTCAGCCTTTCTTATGGTCCATCTTTCACATCCATACATTGCAACTGGGAAAACCATGGCCTTGACTATACACACTTTTGTTGGCAGGGTGATGTCTCTGTTTTTTAGTATGCTGTCTAGATTTGCCATAGCTTTCCTCCCCAGGAGCAAGCGTCTTTTAATTTCTTGGCTGCAGTCCCCATCTGAGGTGATCTTGGAGCCCAGGAAAAAAAAATCTGTCACTACCACCATTTCTTCCCCATCTATTTGCCAGGAATTGAGAGGGCTGGATGCCATGATTTTGGTTTTCTTAATGTTGAGTTTCAAGTCAACTTTTGCACTCTCCTTCTTCACCCGCATCAAGAGGCTCTTTAGTTCCTCTTCACTTTCTGCCATTAGAGTGGTATCATCTGCATATCTTAAGTTGTTGATATTTCTTCCGGCAATCTTAATTCCAACTTTTGATTCATCTAGCCCTGCCTTTCTCATGATGTGCTCTGCAAATAAGTTAAATAGGCAGGGCGACAGTATACAGCCTTGCCTGACTCCTTTCCCAATTTTGAACCAATCAGTGGGTCTGTGTCCAGTTCTCACTGTTGCTTCTTGACCTGCACATAGGTTTCTCAAGAGACAAATAAGATGGTCTGGTACTCCCATCTCTTTAAGAACTTGCCACAATTTGTTGTGATCCACACAATCAAAAGCTTTAGCATAGTCAATGAAGCAGAAATAGATGTTTTTCTGGAACTCCCTAGCTTTCTCCATGATCCAGCGTATATTGGCAATTTGATCTCTAGTTCCTCTGCCTCTTCGAAATCCTGCCTGTCCTTCTGGTGGTTCTCGATCCACATACTGCTGGAGTCTAGCTTGTAGGATTTTAAGCATAACTTTACTAGCATGTGAAATGAGTGGAATGGTGCGATAGTTTGAACATTCTTTGGCATTGCCTTTCTTTGGAATTGGAATGTAAACTGATCTTTTCCAATCCTGTGGCCACTGTTGAGTTTTCCAAATTTGCTGGCAAATTGAGTGTAGCACTTTTACTGCATTGTCTTTTAAGATTTTGAATAGCTCAGCTGGAATACTGTCACCTCCACTAGCTTTGTTGTTGCTCAGATTTCCTAAGGCCCATTTCACTTCACATTCTAGGATGTCTGTCTCGAGATCAGTGACCAGCCCATCGTCGTTATCTGGGACGTTAAGCTCGTTCTTGTATAGTTCTTCTATGTAGTTTTGCCACCTCTTCTTAATATCTTCTGCCTCTGTTAGGTCCCTGCCATTTTGGTCCTTTATTATGCCCATCTTTGCATGAAACATTCCCTTCATATCTCCAATTTTCTTGAAGAGATCTCTGGTCCTCCCTATTCTGTTGCTTTCTTCTATTTCTTTGCACTGTTCATTTAAGAAGGTATTCTTATCTCTTCTAGCTATTCTCTGAAATTCTGCATTCAATTGGGTGTATCTTTTTCTTTCTCCTTTGCCTTTTGCTTCCGTTCGTTCCTCAGCTATTTGCAAAGCTTCCTCAGACAGCCATTTTGCTTTCTTGCATTTCTTTTTCTTTGGGATGGTTTTAGTTGCTACCTTTTGTACAATGTTGCGAACCTCCGTCCATAGTTCTTCAGGCACTCTGTCTATCAGATCTAATCCCTTAAATCTATTTGTCACCTCTACTGTATATTCAGGAATATGATTTAGTTCATACCTGAGTGGCCTATTGCTTTTCCCTACTTTCTTCAATTTAAGCCTAAATTTTGCAACGAGAAGCTCATGATCTAAGCCACAGTCAGCTCCTGGTCTTGTTTTTACTGACTGTATAGAGCAGTGGTTCTCAACCTTTTTAACGCCGCAACCTCCAACCGGTCATAAGTCGAGGACTACTCAACCGGTTGTAAGTCGAGGACTACTCAACTGGTGCAGCACCATTTGCAGAACGGGACTTTTGGCGGACTCAGCAGGGCAGAGACAGCCTGGACAATTCCTATTGGCTTTTGAAAGCCAATAGAATTAGACTCTATTCAAGAGAGTCTATTCTATTGGCTTTCAAAAGCCAATAGAATAAAAGGGAGTAGCACAGCTAAGGAAAAGGGAGAAAAAATGGCGGACTGCATTGTTTGGCGACCCCCGTGAAATGGTCATTCGACCCCAAATGGGGTCCCGACCCACAGGTTGAGAACCACTGGTATAGAGCTTCTCCATCTTTGGCTGCAGAGCACATAGTCAATCTGATTTCTGTGTTGATCGTCTGGTGATGTCCATGTGTAGAACTGTCTCTTGGGTTGTTGGAAAAAAGTGTTTGTTATGATCATCGTATTCTCTTGACAAAATTCTATCAGCCTGTGCCCTGCTTCATTTTGTACTCCAAGGCCAAACTTGCCTGTTATTTCGGTTATCTTTTGGCTTCCTACTTTAGCATTCCAATCCCCCATGATGATAAGGACATCATTTTTTGGTGTTAATTCTATAAGGTGTTGTAGGGCTTCATAGAACTGGTCAATTTCATCCAATTTCACCAGTGGTTGGGGCATAGATTTGGACTACTGTGATACTGAATGGTTTGCCTTGGATTCGAACTGAGATCATTCTGTCATTTTGGGGATTGTATCCCAGTATTGTTTTTCCTATCTTTTATTGATTATGAAGGCTACTCCATTTCTTCTGAGGGATTCTTGCCCGCAGTAGTATACCTGATGGTCATCTGAGTTAAATTCACCCATTCCTGTCCATTTTAGTTCGCTGATTTCTAAGATGTCAATGTTCAGTCTTGTCATCTCTTGTTTGACTAGGTCTAGCTTGCCTTGATTCATGGATCTTACATTCCAGGTTCCTATGGAGAAAAAATCTTTACAGCATCGGACTTTCCTTTCACCACCAGATCTATCCACAGCTGAGCGGCCTTTCGGCTTTGGCCCAGTTGCTTCATTCTTTCTGGCGCTACTAGTATTAGCCCTCTGCTCTTCCCCAGTAGCATATTGGACATCTTCCGACCTGAGGGGCTCATCTTCCAGCGTCATATCTTTTTGCCTTTTAGTACTGTCCATGGGGTTTTCATGGCAAAGATACTGGAGTGGTTTGCCATTTCCTTCTCCAATGGATCACATTTTGTCAGAACTCTCTGCTATGACCTGTCCGTCTTGGGGTGGCCCTGCACAGCATAGCTCATAGCTTCATTGAGTTATGCAAGCCCCTTCGCCATGACAAGGCAGTAATCCAAAAATTACACCATCTGAATTTATTTGAATTAATGATTATGCTACAGTTATTTCCCATTATATTTTACAAAATTTACAACTATGGAAGCAGATATCTGTGACTGGGGAGATGTTAAAATGATAACACATTGAAGAGAATATTATTTCTAGTGAAACCAGAATCAGGAAAGGGATCAATCCCAGCATAAGCATATTACAAATTTACAATCAGAATGACTTAAACAGGGTGCAGGGAGTGGACCATCTACCGAATTAGAGGTTCCTAAACAAATAGAGGGCAAAAATATTTAATGAAGCCCAGTTCTACAAGTGGTGAAAGTACACTTTTTGGATTAAATCCTGCAATTTTTTTAAATACTAGACAAGGGGAACAGATCAAATGCAGATCTTCTCCCTTCAGTGATAAAGATCCCTTATAATTAGGATTACCGCGTTCATATGCAACCCATCTCTGGGCATGCTCAAGGCAAACAAAATTCTTTTTTCGACTTACTGAGTCGGAAATGTGACACCGTACTCCTTGTTCTGGGGTGGTAAGACAAAACTCTCACCTTTTAGCACACTAAGGAGGAGATCGATCCCTTCCTGGTAGCAAATCAGCGACTCCTGAAAACGCGAAGCCGAATCCAGGTCCAGCGCCCGCTTCAGCACGGCCACCGCCGAATCCTCCATATCAATCAGCCAGCGATGCCCGGCACGAGTCACGAGACTTTGCGGAGGACCTGGATCTCCTCCTCCTCTGCCGCCGCTGCTGTCGCCGCTGCCCCAAATGCAATAGCCCGACCACAACTCGGAAAATCTGCAAAAGCGAAGACGTCCATCTAATCCATAAAGCAAAATAGAAACCAGGCGGAGTTGCCCGGCCCTTTTCTGCTCACGTGCTTTCTAAGAACTGGAAAGTAAATGCTTAGAAAGGCCTAAAGCTTCTTCTCTTCTCGTGGTTGCGGAGGAGGAGACTTTGCACGTCTCTTTTCGCGAGAACGTGAATCGGCTGCATAAGATGGCAGCGTGGAAGTGTTATGTATCCGCTTGGCAGGTGAGAAGTCTGGAAATGATTAAAGGATTTCTGTAAATTTCACATAGTTGTTTTATCAGGAAGAGGATTGCATCAAGTTGCAGAAATCCTTTTATGTTGCTGGACGATCTTGCTGGAGCTGAATAAAGCATACCTTAATTCTTAAATGTGTTTTTAATTAAGAGACCCCAATTCTGGAGAAAATTGATGCCTTGGTTATTAGCAAGCGTTCGTGTACTTTTTACTTTGTAAACTATTTATACTTTCCAATTAGCTGATTTAAATTTCAGGCTGGTATATCATGTGCTTCCTGTGAACCTCTGATGATTTTGTTTTTCCGGAAATATAAAATGATAGCTTCTTAAGAGTTAATATATGTGCACATGCATTTTGTCATTGATTTATTTGAAACCTTGATATATTTGACTCTTATGTATTAAGCTCTGAAGTATTACATTGTTCTCTCCTTTGTTTCTTATATTGCAGAATCTGACAAAAAGCGAACCAATCCCTTGGAGAATATGGATTAGGCAGAAATTTACAAGGTCTCGAATTCCAGAATCAGTAAGCCTTGAGTTAAAATAATAATTAAACATTACAATTACAAATTAAAATGGAATTACAAATGAAAACAGTCAAAATATATTCTTTACTACATAAAATCTCTTGTGAAAATAATGTGAATTCACCTTTGTACTTTTAAAATTGAATTATAAAGGTCTGAGTTTAACTTGCCTTTGTTTCTGATGTACCTTAAAGGGCTGTAGAATCTATATTTAGCCATTATTTTATTTCACCTAATTTCTTGCTAATTAATACCTCCTCTTTGTAGCTTTCTCTTCTGCAGAGGTAACTGATAGAGTATTCAAAAAAATGACTCTATTACTCACTCTTGCTGTAGTCTCTTCAATCACATGTAACCCAATTACTTGCCAGTAAATAATAAATTGTGATAGAAGAGGAATGAAACTCCTACTTTAAATATAGAAAGCTAAAGACAACTTTAAACTGCCTCTTTGATATTTGGAATGAAATGAGGGAAATAGCTAAATGGTAAACTGTTAAAAATGATTATTTGGGCATCTTCGTGTCATGATTAGAGAAATATGAAGATAAGCCCCAGAACTCATTAATAACTAATTTTACTTATTGTATTGGTTAATGAGAGTTTAATCTTTTTTAGGTATTTCAACCACGACCTGGTGATCATGAAAAATATGGTGGTAATCCGGAAGAGCCTCATAAACTACATTTTATCACCAGGATCAGAAGTGGAAGAAGGCGTCCTTATTGGGAGAAAGAATTGCTTGAAGAGCTTGGATTAACAAAAGTATGTAACTAATTTGTGGTGTTCAGAGATTTTTTTTCCCCCCAGCTCTAATACTCCTTTATAAATTTCTGTTGTATGAATTGTTTATTCAGAAATTGTGCTTGTAGAGTTAATAATTTGGACAAAATAGTTGTCTATGATTGGATTTTGAGATATTTGGCCACATACTAAAATAATTTATAGCTGGAACAGCTCCACATCACAACAGGTTATAACACTGATTAAACATTTGAGTTCATTTTCATTGTAAGGCAAAAGGTAAGTATCAAAAGGAAAAGAGAATCTTGATTTGCAATTGACTATTGACTCCAAATAGCCACAGTGTTTACTTGGCAACAGCTTGGAAATAATCTGATTCTAATTCTTCTGATTTTTTTTACTTTGCAGTGTAGCCTAAAGTCCTAACTTCTTGTAGTTTTGATAGAAGATAATATTTGTTGTTCAGAATTGAACTATGGAGTCCTTGGTGCACTCTGAGCTTGGTTGTTTTCCTGCAGATGTTTCATTACCAAACTAGGTACCATCAGCGCTATACAATCCTTATAGTTTCCCCTCCAAATATTAACCAAATTGCAAAGCTTTCAGGCCCTGATTATATGTTAGCATCCACTGTGCTCAACATTGGGTACTTCTAAGTAAATTATTATTTTGAGGTGTTCAAGGCAAATTTTGTTATCAGGCTGAGTGATTTTCACCCCAGGTAGCAGTTTGGAAAGAACAGTAAATTATACTAAAATTAAATCCATCTGCAAATAGCATTATTAATTGGGGTTGATTATATCCTGCCAATCACAACATTCTGTCCTTGCCAGATGGTTGGTGTGAGGATTTCTGCCTACATTCCTCTCTTTCACAGCAGAAAATAAAGGTATCCTACACAATCTCTAGGGACAAGTGCTTCTCTCTAAGTGTCATTTCTCAGAATGAAACATGTTGAACATAGAATGCAGTACCATTGGTATCTCTAGGGCTACCAGGTATGGTATACAAGGATCAGATGCCATCAGAGGACAAATTAATTTTGTAGTCCATCCAGTAGTCTGAATTTTGCAGCTTGGATCTGGCTGCAATAAGAAATAGCTATTCATAGAAATAATAAAAGAAAAGAACATCAAGGGTATTGCTCTTAATTTAGGAGCAAAAAAGGGGTTTTTGATGCTTCCTTCTATTTCAGGTTTTAAGGTGTCCTTGCACAATCACTTCAGATCTTTACTTTTGCTTTCATGGAAGCATTTTGATCTCAGTGTTAGAACTGTCAATATCTTCAGGGTCTTACCATTTTAAAATGCAGTAATGGCATGTCGGAAATGTATTTTCTTAAACTATGCTATGAAGTCAGTCTTCACAAGTTTAAAAAAGAAGTTGCTGCCTGGTTACTGAATTAAGTGTAACATGAAACTAAGTAGAATTGAAGTGGTTTTGTTTTTGAAGGATTATAACAGATGGGGGAAGAGAGTGAACAAAAAGTGTTCTAAACAGGTGATTTCTGAGAAGAAGCTTTATACTTGTGTCACAATGATTACAAATGACAGGCATAACATAGGTTTTCATTCCTCTTGTCTTTAGGAGTTTGGTCATATCATAATCAAAGCATTATGTGATATACAGATTTAATAATAAATAAGACTAAATCTGTGGGGGCATTCATTTTTTAGGTATTATCTTATGTTCATCATTAAAGAAAAAATTAAGTTCTTGCTTAGCCTTCTCTTCAGTGGGATGTGTACTATAATTGAGATACACTTCTCTAGCATATAAAACAGTTAAGAAATGGATTGTAAGAGTCAGGACAGTATTTTGCTTCTGAGGACTATATGAGATTCGGAGCAGTCACCTGGGGTTGCACAATGGCAGATAGGATGGTGAGACCTGACACAGCAGCTAATATCAGACCTCTTAACAATTCGCCTCCTCACATGTTCTTCTTCACTGCTGAATTAGTACAGAAATCAAGAATGCTTAAGGAGTCTGCATCTTTAAGCAATTATATTTATAGTTAAGTCCTTAAATGCTAAAACAAATGTTAGCTTTACAGGCAGTTCTTGTTTAATGACTGACTTGTGTAATAATGATTATTCAAATTATGTTGGTGATGAAAAAGTAACTTTATAACTAGTCCTTGTGTTTACAACCATTACAGGTCTGTAAAACAAAGGAAAGCTGAAGTAAGATCATAATCACAGTAACAGTTTTGGTTAGCAACCACTTGACTTAGTTGTTGATTCCAATGGTGGCCACTAAAGGAAAACTACCTTTAATACTAAACTAGCAAAATCAATATTGTTTTAATGTTGCTTAATATTAGTTTCTGCAGTGATTTAATATTTATTAAAATTTATTCAAACTATTACAATAGCTGTTCTCACAAATTCACTTCTGTGATGCATGTCTGATGAGCTTTGTATCACTTACAGAGATTTGATCCAGTGGTGCTTAAAAACATCCCTTCCGTGAATGCAAAACTGAAAGTCATTAAACATCTAATAAGGTTAGTAATTCTTCTCATCAGCAATATTTTGAAATTGCTTTCATATAAAAACACTAATAGGTTGTTATCCCCTTCTCTTTTTGACTATAGAATAAAACCATTAAAACTGCCTTATGGAATTCCAACTGAAGATGAAATACCTGATACCTATCTTAACAAGGTCACAGGTGAACTGATAGTTTGTCGCCACCTAAAAGAAGTGGAAAAGAACACATCTGATTCTTCATAATAATGTATTAATACTTTCTATAATAAATGTTATATTAAGTTGAGAATTGCATTACTGTAATTGCCATTTGGGGGCATAATTGTATGTTCATTTAGAACAATTTCTCTAGACTTAACTGCCTTCTCATAAAATTAGATAGCATTATTACTAAGAAGATAAAAACATTTATCTGATATTTGGGCATAATTTCTACTTAAACTGTTTGGCTGTTGTAAATGTGACAGTATAAATAATAGCAAATACACTTCAACAGCGTTTGAGATATATTTTGGTTTCTACACAGTTTACAGAAGGCTGCAACTAATAATAAAAATTGAATTTCTGTGACTATAATAATAGGTCATCCAGTCCAACCCCTACTCACCACTTCAGACAAATGGCTGTCCAGTCTCTTCTTAAAAACTTCCAATGTTGGAGCATTCACAGCTTCTGGAGGCAGGTTATTCCACTGGTTAATTATTCTAACTGTCAGGAAGTTTCTCCTTAGTTCTAGGTTGCTTTTCTCCTTGATTAGTTTCCATCTGTAGCTTCTTGTCCTGCTTTCAGGTGCTTTGGAAAATAGCTTGACTCCCTCTTCTTTGTGGCAGCCCCTGAGATATTGGAACACTGCTATCATGTCCCCCTCGTCCTTCTCTTCATTAAATTAGACATACCCAATTCTAGCAGCCGTTCCTTATATGTTTTAGCTTCCAGTCCCTAACCATCTTTGTTACTCTTCTCTGTACTCTTTCTAGAGTCTCAACATCTTTTTTACATCGTGGTGACCAAAACTGGATGCAGTATTCCAAGTGTAGCCTTACCAAGGCATTGTAAAGTGGTATTAATACTTCACGTGATCTTGATTCTATCCCTCTGTTAAGGTAGCCTAGCAGTATGTTGGCTTTTTTGGCAGCTGCAGCACACTGCTGGCTCATATTTAAATGATTGTTCACGAGGACTCCAAGAGCCCTCTCCCAGTTGCTCCTATTGAGCATGGTACCACCTATACCAGTGGTGGCGAACCTATGGCATGCGTGCCAGAGGCAGCACTCGGAGCCCTTTCTGTGGGCACATGTGCTGTTGCCCCAGCCCCCCCTCCCCCCTGCTCACCAGCAGCCTCCCTGCAGGAGAGTCGCCCACGAGTGCGGCCCACACAGAGCAGCGCAGCCAAGCACATGGAGCCGGGCAGCAGGGACAAGACTCCACCCTCCGACTCCATTGCACACAGATGATGCTGCAGTGTATGGGGGGAGGGCATGGCTGCCATGATGCTCTGGGCCACCTGGGCGATCTGCGGCGGGTCGTGGAGGTGGTAAGTGGCCCTGCGGGCAGGCGGTAAGTGGTCCTGCGGGCAGCAGGACCACTTGCAGAGTGGGCGGGAAGGAGCGAGCGGGGGCGGTTTTGGGGCACTCGGTCTCTAAAAGGTTCGCCATCACTGGTCTATACCTGTGCATTTGATTTTTCTTACCTAAATGTAGAACCTTACTTTTTTCACCATTGAATTTCATTTTATTAGATAGCGCCCAATGTTCAAGTCTGTCAAGATGCTTCTATATCTTAAGCCTATCTTCTGATCGTTGGCTATTCCTGCCAGCTTAGTGTTGTCTGCAAATTTTATGAGTTCCCCATCTATCCACTCATCCAAATTGTTGATAAAGATGTTGAAGAGCACTGAGCCCAGAACAGAGCCCTGGGGTACCCCACTACACACTTCCCTCCATGTAGATGCAGTTCCATTGAGGACCATACGCTGAGTATGGCCAATCAGCCAGCTACGAATCCATCTGAAGTCCAAGTAAATTATGTCCACAGCATTCCTCTGATCCACTAATTTTGTCACTTGGTCAAAGGATGCAATAAGATTTGTCTGGCATGATCCGTGTTTGACAAACCCATGTTGGCTTTTGGTAATGACTTTGTTTGCCTCTAAGTGTTCGCTGATTCGTTGCTTGATTATCTTTTCCAAGATCTTCCCAGGTATTGAGGTCAGGCTGATAGGTCTGTAGTTTCCTGAATCCATTTTTTTTCCTTTTTTGAAGATGGGAACTACATCAGCCCTTTTCCAGTCTTCTGATAGTTCCCCAGTGCTTCAGGATCTTTGAAAGATATAGTTCAGCGGTTCTGAGATCACATCTGCCAGTTCCTTCAGAACCTTGGGGTGTATGTAGTTTGTCTGGTCCTGGTGATATGAACTCATATAAGGTGGACAGATGCTCACTTACCATTTTTTTGCCTTGTATATCTAATCTGTTTTTTACGGTACTGTTTTTGATAGGTTGGACTGTTTTTTCCCTTTGTGTAAATACGAATGTAAAAACTGAATTGAGTAGTTCTGCTTTCTCTCTGTTGCTTGTCACCTTCTTGCCACTTTCTCCCACTAGTGGACCAATCATTTCCTTAACTTTTTTCTTGTTTTTACATGTTGAAAGAAGCTTTTTTGTTATTTTTTACTTTTGTCTCAAGCCTTAGTTCTTTTTGAGCTTAGCTTTCCTCCCTCCATCTTTGCAGGCTCAGGTTATTTGCTGATATTCTGCCTTAGTTATGTGCCCCTCTTTCCACTTTTTATATTTGTCCTTTTTGTCTTTCAATTTATCAGAGAGTTCTTTATGCAGCCATGCTGGTTTCTTTTGAGAGTTGTTACTTTTCTTCTTCATTGGTATTGTGCTAGACTAGGCTTTTATTATCTCACTTTTCAAAATTTCCCAAGCTTCTTGAGTTGTTTTCCCCTTGAGGATTCTCATCCATTGAATCCTTCCCAAGCTCTCTAAGTTTATTCAAATTAGCTCTCTTAAAGTCCAAGACTCTAGTTTGACTGTATTCTATTGCTTGTGCTTGCATAATGTTGAATTCCAATATTGCATGGTCACTCCCCCCATGAGATTCCTGTGATTTCAATATCTTCTATCATTTCATCTCTGTTAATGAGAATTAAATCCAATATGACTGATCCCCTAGTTCCCTTCTCTACTTTTTGAAAGACAAAGTTGTCTGCTAGATTTGTCAGGAATCTGTTTGATCTTCCACTTGGTGCAGAGTTTGTCTCCCAGTTGATGTCAGGGTAATTAAAGTCTCCCATTACTATTGTGATGTGCTTCCTACACACCTTAGTTAGCTGACTAGCAAAAAGTTCATCTATTACCTCTGTTTGGTTGGGTGGCCTGTAGTATACACCTATGGCAGTATCATTTTCCCCCTTTTATATTGACCCAAATGCATTCAAGACAGTTTTCATCATTGTTGTGCTCTATTTCTGTAGAAATGTAGTTATTTCTTACATAGAGAGCAACTGCACCTCCTCTTTTATTTGGTCTGTTTCTTTTAAATAATTTAAATTCCTCTAGCTGTGTGTTCCATTTATGGGTTTCATCCCACCAAGTTTCCGTAATGGTAACAATATCCTATCTGCCCTCATTTATCTGAATTTCTAATTCACCCTCTTTGTTGCTCATGCTCTGTACGTTGGTGTATAGACATTTGAGTCCTTTATGACTAACCCTGTGTTTACTTTCTACATAACCTATGTGGTGCCTGAGTTCCCCTATTTTCTTACTACTATTGATTAAACTAATTTGAATGTTTCACTGGCCATTGTTAGTCATATAAAAGTTGATTTATGTAATTGTGAATAACACAAAAATGCAACATTTCTCAATAAATTGATTGTCATCATCAGGCAGATACAGTCAATAGTCAGTTAATTGTAAATAGGCCACATGATTGGTCCATCATTTTCATATATTTTTTTCAAAAATAACGAGTTCTTTGCAGTAATCTTACCTCTATTTTTTTTTTAGTATTTCTATTTTGATTGTTTGAGGATCTTCCTTTTGTAACTGACTCTCAGGAGGCAGCCTGCAGCCAGATTTGCTCCTACTGGAGTTCAGGCAGATGTATTTCTATATCTTGTTTTATGTGAGAAATTCACTTGCAAGTATTTATATTGTTTTCCCCCTTTCATTTGGGGAACTTTTCCATTTTCAGAAAGAAGTCATCTTAAATACTGTATATGAATGGTGATCTTGTATCCTGGCATGTACCAAATTTTACTTATGTCATTTCTGGTTCGTCAGCATTTCAGCTGAACTGTTTTGTTTGGAAAATCCTCATATGTTTAAAGAGATCTGATTCTCCTGACATTCATATTACCTTTTTTTAAATTAATATAATTTCATAGACTTTTTTGTTTTATGGGAAATATGAATATGATTGCTTCCTGGACACTTTATATACTGTTTCTCTGCCAGGAAATCCATACTTAACAGCTTTTAAAGTGTTAAAATTAAAGCATGAATGAAGATCTATTTAGAAGCTGATTGCACATATTTTCAGATCTGCACTTGTTTCACAGTACATACATAACGAAGTAGTCCAGAAATAATGTAGCATATTTCTAATTCATTAGTCAAATTTTAAGTCTCTTACTAGATCTAATGTACTACTTTGAATTAATTTTTTTGTCCCCTCATGTGTTACTTCTATGAATCAATCAATAATGATTGATTGATCACATCAGGGAAAACTGTTATGTGTTGAATATACATTTACCCAGTCTATGTAGATAATGGAAATTACCCATTACTAAAACATTTGCTTTGGATTTCTGCCTGATTTTTTTTTTCAACCCAAGATGATCTGAGCAATTCTCTTCAACAAGCTTATAGTATGTTTGTGATGCTAACTTAATTTCAGGAACTTTCATTATATTCCCAGTGTAATGTTATGAGTTCACGGAATTCAGGCCACTTTGTACATGTAATTTAGTTGGACTCCAAAAGGGGGAGCAACATTAGACAAGTTGCAGCTAGCTTATAGCTAATAGTGACTCTATGGAGAAGTCCATTTTGACTGTCTACAAAAAGCAGTATTCCCCTGGATTTCGGTTAATGCCCAATCCTTCAAAACTAGGCCTTTCAGTTTTCCCAGCTTGGCTTAGAGCCTGTGAGAATATAAAATCCTATGCACAAGTAGGCCTCCCCAGATGACATAAGTGTTTTTCTTTGGAGCCTTTGGCTTATTCCATTGGTTGTCACATTCTTTTATACATTCATTGTGCAGTTTTATGCTGTTCTAACTGGGTGATTGAAAATATTTTCACATCTTTCCCCAGTTCACCACTAAGGATGAATCACCTTACTTACACTAAATGCTGTAGTGTAGATGAGTCCTGTTGGTTTTCCTCCATAGACTAAAGTTAAAAGGATATAATAGTGTGGTGGAACAAAGAGTGGGAAAAAAGAAAGTCTCATAATGGGAATAAAAACCTGTTTGTATGAAATGTGATTGCAACCATAAAATAGCAATATTGCTTTATTTTCCGCAGAAGTTGGCACAACTTTATTTTTGTAGAATTTAGCAAATAGATATTGCTAATTTTACATAAAAATTGGGATAAGGATGAAATGTCAGCATCTTTGTTCTAGATTTTTAATATCCATTTGTTTTGTAAAACTTGGCTCTTGCAACAACGTCATTGGCATAGTCATTCTTTGTAGTGCCTATGTCCATTCGCTCATAGCTTTGGACATTTTTAAGTCCTGCATTGTATGCTGAAATTCCACCTATCATTTAAAAAGTGAATGGACAAATAAAAGTTACATTAAGAACATAATGCAGGCATTCTTCAAGTACTAAGACAAATTGTAAATTGAATCTAGATTGGATTAACCATACTCCTGATACAAAATAAGTTAAATAGCTGATTAGAGATAAACCACAGTATTAAGGACAGAAGATTTTTTTCTTTCTACTTAGTAGAAGTAAGTAAAAGTTTTGGAATAATTTTGCCTGCGATAGTCTACAAACATGCATTTGAAGGGCTTTTTCAATTTATATACTCATAAGATTACCCCTTTAAAGTTTTTTTAAAGGATGCTTCTAACAATGCATAATTTCTATTCTTATCAGAAAGTTAAGCAGAGGTTTTATTTAAATATACTAGAAGATAGGAAATAATATCTTTTGCAATTAACGTATCATGAAACATAACATTTATAAAATTCTGCTTTTATACAGGTAGTCCTTGACTTATGACTTATTCAGGGACCGTTCAAAATTACAATGATACTAAATGAAGGACATATGACCTGTACTCAAGAGTTATAGTTGCTGCAGTACTTCTATAGTCCTGTGATGAAACTTCAGATGTTTGGCAATTAATCTGCCCTACAAATGACTGCTGGGAAACTCCAACTTGTTGGGCAATAATAAAATAATAAAAAAGGATTGGTTGGAAACAAAAACTATTATATCATAAATGAATGCTAGAGCAAATATTTCCCTTCTAAAGATCTCATCTTTGGCTGAGATTTTCCATTTTCTTCTCCAAACTAGAGAACCATTATCATATGGTATAAATAATGAGTCACATGGAAAAATGATATGAAGGATCTGGACATAAAACAGATTCTATGTAGATTTTAGTAAAATGATATTTTATACCTTTGAGCTGCTGTTCGTTTGTCCATAATGGAATTTTTTTTTTAATCTCGTCTATCATGCTACAGAGAATGAGAGTAGCCTGATTAATGTGTTCCTCACTGTCCCAGGTGCCAACTAGTTTATGATATCTTCTATCCACCTGAAAAATGATATTGCTTTTGATTATTCTGTAATAATTATTGCTATGATTATATTATGCCAGGATAGTTTAATTACTTTACAAGCTAATAATTAAAAAATACAGATCAGTTACCAAAAGCGATGTACAGTCAGAATACGGGAAAGATACTATAAAGAGGGGGGGGCAGAGAGTGTATGTAGTGAGAAATGGAAAAACCTTCCATTATACAAGGCTATATTTTGCTTGGGGACAATTATAATCACCTTATAATTACTCCAAAATCGCTTTGCTTAGAGTTGTTGAACATGGGGTACTGTGGGTTTCTTAATTTATAACAAAAGTCTTTACCTGCATTAATCCAAATCCATTTCCATGGTCACCCCAACCATCTTCTAGGATAGTTCCAGCATGTGATTCTCGAGACATAATAGCAGCAATCACAGCAGCATCAATATTTGTTTTTTCACTGACACGCTTAATCTTCATTTTATATTTCTCTAAATTGTTTAGATCTCTCCTTGCAATTATTTTTGAAGCTTCAACCCCTTGCAGAGAGAACACAAACATACATGAGAAATGTGCTTCTGATTAAAAATAACAGTTGGAATTAAACTAAACAGAACAGCTATCTTTTTGCTGTTATGTTTAAGGATTTGATCAAATAGGAAACCCATCTCCATTATAATGGTCAATGTGTCACTGATGGCTACTATTGATGAGTTTATCACTAACTTTGTTAAAATTTTTTGTTTCTGGAAAACTAAAGTGCTTCATGGACATAGCCATTGCTTTCTTAAAAAAAAAAAAAATTCACTTTCTCAATCGAATCCACATTTCCAGCAATATTCCATTCTAGCATCTGAATTAACTACATTAGAAGCTGTTTTTGAAATTAAAGTAAATGCTGCTACCTAGATAAGCATCAAATAAAATCTAGAACTGATAGTGTTATCTAGTTGGGTAATGAAACAACCAAGCCTATACATCAAGGACATCATGGCCAATTTAGTGTAATGGTTAGGCTAGAAAACGGAAGACCATAAATTCTAGTCCTGCCTTAGACATCAAGTCTGCTGGGTGATCTTGAGCGACTCTCTCTTAGCCTTAGAAAGAAGCAGCGGTGGGATTCAGCTGGTTCGCACCAGTTCTGCTGAACTGGTAGCTACTTTTTTGTTGACTTTGGAGAACCGGCTAAAGCCCTAGCCCTTTTTCGCCCATTTCCAGAAGTCCGTTCTGAGATGGGGAGGCCTCCCAGGTCCAGAATGGCTCACTGGAAGTGCATGGACACCACTTCCAGAAGTCCCTTCTGGGCCTCGGAGGCCCAGACCCAGAACAGACTTCCGGAAGCAGTATCCACGCACAGAACTGATTATTCAGGAATTTGAATCTCACTACTGGAAAGAAGGCAAGACAAACCACTTCCAAAGTCTTGCCAAGAAAACTGTAGGGATTAGTGAGTAAAAAAATTGACTTGAAGGTACACAGACACAAAAAGAGCATTCAAGTATGTATTAAATTTATTGTGTAAGTAAAAAAAAAACCAGGAAGTAGGACATAGGAACCAAAATAATATATTTACAGAAAGGACAGCAGCCAATAAGTGAGTGGCTCTTATGGCAAAAGCAGGGGTGTGGGAAAGATGTTAAAGAAAAGAATAAAAACAGGATAAAAGCAAGCAAGCAGAAGTAATATTCAGGAATCATAGCAAAGACTACAGAATGAAGCACAGTGAAGACGTAATAGTAAATGCCAAAGAAAAGGCCTCTCAATTCCCATTCTTAAGAGGAGACAGAAACCCTTACTTGTTTAAGAATATAGTTCTATTGCTGTAGGGATATAATTGTGCAATTATATATATTGTATAAAGCAAATCTAATCACTGTGTTTAAGCAATTTGAATAGTTGCAATGAACATCTTTTTTTTTCCAAAGAAGAAGAAAAGGAACATACAGACTTAAGCACAGTTACACATTGAACAGAAAAGAGAATAAACATTTATATCACATCAATGTTAACATTATACATATATTCCAACATAGATGATAGTTAATCTTACCCCCAAAATCCAAGCCTTCTTGTTTTCCAGTTTCAAGAGAAGCTCCAGTGGTATCTACATCCATTATGTTACCGTAATAAGAAGAATGAGCTGTTATAGAGGCATTAAATTACTGTCTGGTCACAAAATGTCTTAGGCAATCTATTGCAAAGAAATTCTGTTTTGCGTTATCTGAAGCTGGCAATAATCATCATAATGTCCTGATCTAAATCAGTGGTTCTTAACCTTTTTGAACGAATTGCCCCCTTGAGCCAATGAGGAAGTTGTCATCGCCCCCCTCCCCCAACATAACCTCTCAATCACAACATAGGAAATAATTCTTCAATTTATGCAAACACTTTTTTTGTTTTCTTTAAAATTGTCATCAGGATATATGATGCAAATAATTTATTTCCAGTCTTTTTGCCATATCTCAACTGTGTGAAAAATTTTGGTGCCACCCGTCACTTTATTCCCAAACTTCGTGATGCATGTATTTCATTATTATCTTATTTATTCAAGACACTTAAATGTAATGACCATTGAAAACAAAATTCAACTGCAAGAAAGTGAAATGCCCGAAAAGAAAAACAGTAACATTTAATGATTGAATTACAAGTGAAATTTAAGATGCAAAAAGAAATATAAAAAGGGCATAAGAACAAACCGCAATGCAGGAATTAAGAATTTCAAGACGAAAACTCTGAAACTAAATTAAGATTCGAGGAAAGTATATATAGTCACGCACACTGTAAAAAGGATTAAAAAGTCACAAAGAAAATATAATATCGAACTGGAGTGCATGCTAAAAAAGTACAATACAAAGAGGCACACAAAATAGCATGCGATGTTTCGAAAGAAGCACTCCCCCCTCCATCACTGCCCATTCTGGCCAATGGTGAGCCACTGTATGGGTAGAGCAGGGGTAAGCAACCCAAAAAACTCAAAGAGCCACTTGGACCCGTTTCCCACCGAAAACAAAACACTGGGAGCCGCAAAACCCTTTTGACATCTAAAATGAAGATAACACTGCATATATCCTTTTTTACCTTTAATATATATATATATATATATATATATATATATCTTCAGTGTTATCTTCATTTTAGATGTCAAAAGGGTCTCTCCCTCCCTCCCTCCCTCTTTCTGCCCTTGGTCTGCCAGTCCTCTTCCCCCACTCAGTGTGTGTGTGTGAGAGAGGGGGGGGGAGAGAGAGGCACTTGCGCTTTCTCTTTCTCTTTTTCTCTTTCCTCTCTCCCTCTCTCTTTCCTCTCCCTCCCTCCCCCTTTTTTCTCCAGGTGAGGAGAGAGGGGGGAGAGAGAAGCACTTGCACTTCCTCTCTCTTTCCTCTCTTTTTCTCTTTCCCCTCTCCCTCTCTCTTTCTCTCTTTCCTCTCCCTCCCCCCTTCTTTCTCCAGGTGAGGAGAGGGGGGGAGAGAGAGGCACTTGCGCTTCCTCTCTCTCTTTCCTCTCTTTCTCTTTTTCTCTTTCCCCTCTCCCTCTCTCTTTCTCTCTTTCCTCTCCCTCCCTCCCCCTTTTTTCTCCAGGTGAGGAGAAAGAGAGAGAGAGAGAGAGAAAATGGAAGGCAGAGGGCACCAAAGGGGCGGGGAGGGGGGGGCAGGAGGCAGCAGAAGACCCCGTCGCTGCTGGAGGCACCCAGCTTCGCTGCCCGCCAGGCCTGCAGGGATGCCCAGGCTCACAGTCATGTTGGCAGGCCATCCCACGTGCCGCTGGCGTCCCTGAGCTCAAGTGGGGGCCACAGGGCATCTGCAGAATGCCCTGCCCGTTGGCTGCATCACCAAGCCTCCCCTCGTGCCACCAGTGTCCCCGGGCTTAACTCGCAGGACATCTGCAGAACACCCCCATCAGCTGCTGGAGGAGCTGGAGCTGCTCCACAACGCACAATGCTCCCGGCCATCCACGACCCACCAGCATCGCCCAGGGAGTGATGCCCCCGCCAGCCACCACCCCAGCCAGGACTGCCGCCTGGGGGGCAACAGGAGGAAGAAGGGGAGGAGGAGGAGGGCAAGGAAGCCAGTGCCGGACCCCAGGAGGCGCTCCCGTGGGTCTGGTTGGAAAATGCCTCCCCCTCCCTTTCTCTCCCTCCCAGCTTCTACTCACCTCTCAAAGCAGCCAGGACTCTGGCGCACCTTCCCAGCCAGCTAGGCCAACAGTCCCATGGCTGGGGATTGCAGGGGCAGCTCTCCCTCAGGGCCGCGGCTTGCAGGAAAGCTGGCCCGCTAGGCTGAGGCTCTGGTGGGCTGCTCCCAGCGGGGATCCTGGGATCCCCTGCGTGGTTCCCTGGCCACGTGCACCTGGTACGGGGCCAGCCAGGGAAATGGACTTCCTGGCTGCGCTTGTCCCAGGAGGCGGGGCACTCGGGCTCAGGGCCAACCAGGAGCCCTGTGAGGGGGCAAATCCACATCAGAGAGAGAGAGAGAGAGAGAGAGAGAGAGAGAGAGAGAGAGAAGTACAAGTGCCTCTCTCTATCTCTCTCCAAATGGCGGAGGAGGCTTGGAGCCGCAGGGGCAGGCTCAAAAATGTCCCCAAAACTTCTTGCTCCATCACCCCCATATCGCCCCCTTTTCGTTCCTTCGCCCCCACGTCACCCCTTTTCATTCCATCGCCCCCCTGAAAAATGAAATTGCCCCCTGGGGGGCGATATCGCCCAGGTCAAGAACCACTGATCTAAATAAGTATATATTCTATTATAACTCTTGTGTCTGTAACCTTTAACTGGATGAAATGAGGCAGCATAAAACAATTTTTTTGAATCAAGGTATTTCAAATGGGCTAACTTACAGGATGTATGACCTAACTTTGACTATACAGTTCAACATGGATTACTATCAAAGGAGAAACATCTCAGAATATCTCCCTGAATTTCTAAAAGCTTTTCAAATACATTAGAAGCTCTGCCATTGTGGAAAACACTGAGACTTCTGGTAAAGAAATAATTCTGAAACAATAATCCAAAGCATCACAGGTTCTCTCGTTTCAACTATAAGCATACACCAGTCATTTAGAAGAATGCTTCTGAAAAGATGTATTTCTATAATGCTATCTCCGTCACTAAGCAGATTAGCAAAATAGCCCATATTATACATATAAATAATTGTACTTTATGTTTAGAAAGGAAAATTAAAATAGGTATATCTTCATTTTACTTGTTCTGTCTAGCCCATTAATTCAGTGGAATGGACATTAATTAGGCCAGCTTCATAGCCAGTATAGTTTTTCTACTAATTTGGGGAATTATCAGAAAACATGGAGATAAGGTTGGATCCTGCAGATTGAAGCCTGATGGGATTCAGCATGACTTAATTTCACCTTCTTGACAGGGAGAGCATGTAGAGTACTGAAAACTGTAAAAAATATCCTTTTCCATGAACTGAACCATTTTCCAACCCAGTAAGGGAGATTCACGTTATGCTACTGCTCCCAGTTGCTTGGATTGCTAGGAATCATAACACTGCACTCAGTCTAAATTAAGAAGAAGGGGGGGGGGGAACCTTAAAAGAAGGAAGCAAAAGCACTAATGCTCTACTAGGCCCAAAATTAGCTATTAAGGCACACAACTTTATAAATACTTTTGGCAAAATTAAACCACAACATTTAGCACATAAATGACTAGCTCTTTTGTAACCCTCACCCTGACCACTGCCTACCAATAGTTACATATTTTATAACAAATAAAATAAATACCTTCCATGATTCTCTGATCTCTATAGTCACTTTCGATTCTGTGTTGAACAATGAAAAGGGCATGTGGTTTCAACATCCTATTAGCTGATTAAACAGGATGTTAGTTGCAATACTTGGGAAATAACATAATTATATGTCAGGAAAGTACCAAATCAAAGGGGATTGTCACATACCTGATTGGATTTCTTGGAATAACATCAATCATGTTCATTGTACATTTTTAGTTGCATAGATTTTTTGTTAATGGGACTCATGAATATATAATTATTTTGAAAATTACTCTGAAAATAGATAGTATTTTATTGGAAAGTTTGTCTGAAAGTCAGGCTTATGTCTTTAAACCATTTATTATATAATGATTGTTTTATGGATTTCTCCAGACTTCAAACTATCCTAATGCATAGTGACATAATTTTCAATTTAACTGTGTTTTAATGGCTCAGTATGAGCCCTATGATTTGGCCATTTCAAAGGCACCTGAAATGGTTTCTTGTTGAATCTATAACAAAAGTAAAACTTATTATCTATGTTTTGCAAGCATCCTTCTGGCAAGGCTTCCTCAGAGCAAGGGTTCAGAAATATGGATCACCTTGCACTATTTATAGTCTATGTGGAATTTGAATTTGTTAAGTTGTTGGTGACTGGAGGTTTAATGATGCACCCAGACCAGGCAAAGGCTTTCTTCTGGCTATCCCAGAGTGATTTCCACCTGTGTCGATGGGGCTCGGTGGCCAGTCCACCATTATGCAGGACAGCCAGCCCCCATGTGCTTGCTGGCTTCTGTATGTGGGGGCTGATAGTGTCAGGCAGTGGATCTGGAAGTGAAGCTCTGCTGACCATCTTCGTGCTGGCGGCGGCGGCGGAAGGCAGGATCTGGCATGCGGGCACCCTTTGCTGCTGCTGCCACACATTGTCCCGTGTACGCCTCCAGGCGGGGAGGGTGTTTGCCACAGCTCACCTTCCCCCGCCAGTGCCCCCACCAGTGCAAGATGGTCGGCAGTTTTGCTTTCAGATCAGCGGCCGGCCAGGCTTGGCGATGCAGGGATCACGCCACCGCCTCCTGTTTCTGTGTGTGGTTGGCCAGTCAAGGGGCTCAGAGCAGCAGCCACCGCCCCCATCAGAGCCACCCTGTAGATAGGACACGCACCAGGTGAGGGCTCCTTTCTGGCTGTCCTGGGGCCATCTCCACTCACGCCAATGGGGCTGCACTGCGGAAGGGAAATGGTGGCTCTGATTTCACTCACTCTCCCACCAAAACTGTTCCTTTTATATGTTCCCTCACGCTGCCCAGCTCTTACAGCTGTTCCCGGACTGCACATGCATGGATGGGGAGGGGGAAGAGCCCAGAAATGGTATGTGTGCCCCCAGGGACGGCTCTGCGTGCCGCCTGTGGCACACGTGCCATAGGTTCGTCACCACTGTAGTAGGGAGTGGTGGGTTTTTATACCTTCTTGAGCTTTTGTTTGGAGTTTTCCTGTGGTATGAACTTTGACCTGAGTCTGAATGTGCTTTTCTGGTATTCTGATGGTAGTGGGTTAATCCTATTATGTCCCAAAGGTCATATCTTGCTTCCCTGGGGCTGTGGATTTTTTGGTGTGAGGGATTGTTGATTCTTGGGATCTTTCTTTCTAATCCAAGCTTCCTGACTCCAATCTTTCTGACAAGATTATCACATCTGCATTTCTATAGACCTAGTTTGTTTGGGGCAGAGAGACTTGGGGTGGAGGGTTGGTTTCTGCCTTTAAAATCCTTTGGGGAAATATATTCTGTCTTTTTAATATTTCCCAAAATATTTCTTTCTCTGGATTCTTCCCACAGATTAAAGGAAAGATTTAAACTAGACAAAAAAGACTATGGTTTTGAGCTAGCTAAAAAATGAATTGGAAATCCTACTATGTGGTAATGATGATCATATAATTGCCAAGATCTATACAATGTTATTAAAATTGAATTTGGAAAGTGAACATATAAAACACTGTATGATCCAGTGGGCAAGGAATTTGGGTATAATGTGATATTTGAACAATGGGAGAATATTTGGATAAAAGGCTTAAAATTCACATTAAATTATAACCTAAAAGAAAGCTTTTACAAAATGATGTATTGCTGATATTTAACATCAGATAAGTTATATACAATGTATAAAGGTATTTCAAATGAATGTTGTAAATGTAAAGAAGGGACTTTTTATCATTTATGGTGGAGATGTGATAAGGCAAAGAAATATTGGAGTAGGATTCATATATTAATGCAGAAAATTCTTGAAGTGAACATAAAGATCAAACCAGAAACTTTCCTTCTGGGCCTAATGGAAAGAGAACTGGAAAAAAAATTGGACCTGTTTTTATATATGGTGACGGCAGCAAGATTGCTCTATGCACAAAAGTGGAAGGATGCCTTGATTTCTACCATGGACAAATGGTTAAAGCTGATGGAATTAGCAGAAATGGCTAATTGACTTGTGCTGATAAAGAAAAGAACATAAGTACTTTTGTTTCTACTTGGAAACCGCTTCTGGACTTTGTGCTTGAGGTGGAAAAAAATGATATTATGATTTTGGGTTTTACCGATTATTAGACTGATTTGCCAATACAGAAATGGCTAGTGCATATTACTATAGAAATGTAAAAAGTTGTTTGATTTTAATGTCTGATTTTACTGCAACAGAGTCAGAAGTCAATGCCTTTTGTTTCTTCCCCTCCCTTTCTTCACACCTTTTTTGTTTTCCCTTTTTCTACTGTTGTCCCCTATTTGCTTTTGTATTTTCACATTTTATATTATAAACGAATAAAACTAATAAAAAAAGTTTTAAGTCAAGGACTACCTGGGTAAAATTTCACTCGTTACCCCTAGCTTGAGTGAAGTCAGCTCCATAACAATTTCTGCCTGAGTAGATGATCAAAGTAAGATTCCCTGCTGTTTCATGTGAGGGCTATGTCCGTTAAGCAGTTTGTTACCAGGAAATTACATAGACAGGCCTGGTCTAGCTCTCCTTCCTTTTCCTGGAAAGCCTGCATATAGAGACTGGCAGCAAAATGGCTGATGGGTTGTTGTTATTTTAATGGGATGAAATTTATGGCATTGTTCTACTCTACCAGGGAGTAGTGCTTTGCTGGTAGTTTTAATGCAGGACAGTTAAGGAGGGCAATTGGTGGATTATTCTGGTTTATTTCTTCTCCTACTAAAAATCATCAGCTGGCAATTAACACCAGTCATTTCTCAGCATCGGAAGGGCTGTGTTAGCCTTTTGAGGTAGCATTAACAAAATCTTGTAAAACTAAAAGTATTTCTCCCTTTCTTTCCTTTTACTCTTTGGAAAACTAAGAAGGGTCTCTTAGTTTCCCATACCCTCCCTCCTTTTGTGGAAATAATATTGTTGCTTGAAAAATTATAGGAAAAAGAACTGCACTTTAAATGGAAATAATATAAAAAGCCAATATAGGTGCATGTACAATTATTTGATATAGAAAGTCTTATTTTTATTTAAACCCTTTCAATGAATTATCAAATAATTAAACACAAAGAAGTTGGATGACAGTAAACATATCCAAATATGGTTATGAAACAAAAATGGTTTTAAAGTATATCATTAATTTTGAATTACAGGCCATTGAGGTGGTCTCCCATGGAGAATGAGACACGCACGCAGCAGGTATCTCGGGATGGGAGCCCAGAGCTGACTCCAGCACCCTATTTTATTGTTACTAAAGTTTTTACATCACACAGTGTAAGCAAAAGACGTATATAGGGGTGGTTACAATATATCAAATAACAGACACTTTCCAGATGCAAGGCTACAGCAGGTGTTCTTATCAGAGTCTGTCCAAATGGTTGATGAATGCATCCTGTGTCTAGAGCGGTCCGTTTGTTATCTCAGGCCCTTGTGGGAGATGCCCATGGGCATTTGTGCAATTAATCCCACAGGCCATCATCTTAATGACTGTAAATTTTGAATTACAGGCAAAATATTTTTTTTTAAAAAAATGGGTGCAACAAGAGCCAGAAATTCTGTACAAAGGTTTGTAGTATTTCTCAAGATAGCTCCTTCCTATTACCTCCTTGAAAATTCATTTGATTTGGTGATGAGTTGGCTTTTATGTGCACTCAGAAAAGCCAGAGTATCATATCAAAGAAAGAGATTTTACTTTTCTTGAATCAATAATCTATTGAAACAAATTTTAAAATGCAGGGAAGCACTATTGCCTAATATCCAGGAGCTTTCTTCTTAATTCTAGATAAATAATCATGCAATGGTATCAGAAACAGTGTACAGGGTACTTAAGACTATAGATGAAATCTAACTGCAATGTTCTTAACTATGGGTATTGTAGAAGGGGCATTTTTACAGATGAGATACTTGCAAGTTAAAAGATTAGCAAAAAGCAAAATGTGGAAGACATGTCAATTATTAGATTGTGCTATATTGACTACTGTAGAAGCCACATCTCCAGAGAAGCAAGCACTGTCCCTGGACAGGACCAGATCATTCCTTCTCCAAATGGCAAATGGCAATAGATGTATTTAATCTACCAGGTTAATATTCCAAGCCATGCCTCTTTTACTTCTTTGTTGTAATAAGCCTCATCCATAAATATAAAAAGAGCAAATTGAGAAAAATGAAGTAATCTCTAAGGAGACATAAAATATTTTAGGATTATAGTACTTGGAGTACTATTTTAATGTAATGTAATTGAACACTATAAAACCGACATCATTAAGGAGTAATATCAATCTTTTAAGCCAGTTAAGTTTTATAACTATTATGGAAACTATGTTATAAAATGAGAGTCAGATGCCCTTATTATAAACTATACCCATCCAAGTGACTCACATTGAAACCTGTCTTCCTAGCTGAAAGCCATGTTTTAGTTATTTCTCTCCCACTGCCTTGTATCCCTGCCCTGTGGCTAGTCTCATGAACTTATGCTTTATTTCTGTGATTTGAGAAATTCAAGGTTTCCATCCAACATTTGAAGAAAGCAAACTAAAGCTTAAATGTGATTCCAAAACTCTGGCATGATTTTACTTGTGGGATGTATATTACCTCCATTTGCCCCTCACCTACAAAATGTCTTTATCTTTCATAGAAGAAAATATAAAGAAACTTAAATCTCATTTTCTTTCCTCTTGAAAAGATAGTTGCAGTAATCTTGTGCCCAGCAGTGACTGTTATTTGATTGAATGGAAAGTTCCCATACTTGCTTTAGTCTGTACATTTTAAGTTCCTGTGAGATTTATTTTTTTCCTAAGACAAGATAAAATGTAATAATTTGCAGGTGGAGGACATCTACATGTGATATATAGGAAAATATTCTTTTACCTACCAGGCTATTAATATTTACCTACAGAATTGTTAATTTTTCAAAAAGATGCACCAGGAAATGTATATATTAGTGAAGAAGAACAGTGCAAGACATTGTATTAAATTGTATTCGTATCAGTTTAAAAATCTCAATTTTTCCTGTGGTTTGTTTTAAAAAAATATAAGCTGTCCTTCAATTTTAGAATTTTAGTTCAGTATATTTGTCATGTAATATTTATTGCTAATTCAGCTCTAACATGCGGTGTACACAGCTGGCAGACTTAAAGAAAAACTACAGGAATTTTATAATATGAAGTGCAATGAAGTTAAGAGTACGCAAAGTCACACTCATGGTATTATTAGAATGACTTTTATTAATGCACTACTTCAAGAATAGTTTAAATAACAATTCTTGACAGAAGTCCTTCATTAATACCTTAATGATAAATGGTATAAATTTTAAGATGCAAGTTAGAGAGCTATTGTTAAATTAATAAAATATTGAAAGTCACCTCTCATATTACATAGTTCAAAAGGGTTCAAATTTCTTTATGAAGAAATTATTTTCTAAGAGGAAGATTTCCTTTCATGAGCTCTATAAAACTGTTAGAAAATGAGTGTGATGTGCAAATGTTCTGAAAGCAAAAAGCTGTATAAAACATTCCTAAAAATGTATCAAACATAAAAGAAAAATGGTTTACAAATATTTGTATCATGAATTCTAATCATCATCAGAATCTGAATCATATTTCTTTCCTCTGATTGTTTTCTTATCCAATTTTGTGAAAGAGGTTCCAAACTTCTTTTGGCTTTGGAAAGGCGGCTCCATTAAGTTGCCACTAAAAAAAAAAAAGAAATTACTAATAATGTAAACATTGAGCAAAACACAAATTGGAAATACAATTGTCTGAAGCCAACTCTCCCTGCCCCTTTGTCATTATGTCAAAAAAAGGATGCATTATTTTGCTTCATGAACCTCTTAGGATTATAGTAAACATTTTTAACAATTATGTGATTAAAAACACAAGCAATGTCCTGCTGGATTGGTTGCCTAGCTCACCTAGTTCACAATCAATTGGTCCACACAGTGGCCAACCAGCTGCCCAAGGAAGCCCATCAGTTTCAACAGATGGCTTTCAGAGATAGCACTTAGCAGTAGCAAAAGCACTCAGATTTATATACTGCTTCACAATGCTTTACAGCCCTAAGTGGTAATGTGAAGAGATAGTCACACTGCTATCAAGGTTAACAACACTTGATCCCCATGACTTCAATGTATTGATCCAACTCCTTTTTGAAACCAGCCAAACTGATAATCAACAATATACAGGTAGTCCTTGACTTAGGACCATAATTAACTCAAGATTTCCGTTAAGTGAGACATTTGTTAAATGAGTTTTACCCTGTTTTATGACCTTTCTTGCTTCATTTGTTAAGTGAATCACTGATAAGTTAGTAACCCGGTTGTTAAGTGAGTCTGGCTTCCCCATTGACTTTGTTTATCAGAAGGTAGCAAAAGGTGACCTTGGGACATGACCTTGGGATGCAACAACAGTCATAAATATGAACCAGTTGCCAAGCATCTGAATTTTAATCATATGATTATAGGGATGCTGCAAAGGTCGTAACTGTGGAAAACGATCGTAAGTCACTGTTTTCAGTTTCATTGTAATTTTGAATGGTCATTAAATGAACTGTTGTAAGTTGAGGATTACCTGCATTGCAATAGTAGCAATAGCGCTTAGATTTATATACCGCTTCATAGTGCTTTGCAGCCCTCTCTAAGAGGTTTACAGAGTCAACATATTGCCCCCAACAATCTGAGTCCTCATTTTACTGACTTTGGAAGGATGGAAAGCTGAGTCAATCTTGAGCCGGTCAGGATTGTACTGCTGGCTGTTGGCAGAGTTAGCCTGAAAAACTGCATTCTAATCATTGCATCATCATGGTTCTTTATATCTTGTGGTAATAAACTCCAAAATTTAATTAGCAAAAGTATACTTATCCCTTGCATTTTTCTTATAAGATGGCACCTAGAAATTAGTTACATTTTTGTTTGGGAACTGTTATCACTGTTATCTTGTAGTAGATTAGGGAAGGATATTAGAAATTTGTAATAGTAATTAGAATGTTTGACAACTGAGATTGATTTGAAAATCAAGGTGGATGAGGAAAAGTTGAATGTGGTTGGATTGATGGTTGAAAAATGGAGATAGCAGGCAAAAGAACAGGACACTGAACAGAGAAAAAAAACCTGAATAGAAAGAAGACTGAAACTGAAAAAGGAACTTGATTGGTGGCTAACCTAGTGACATTCAAACTCAAGATTCTTTCCAGAAAATGAAAGAGAGCAAGAAAGATAGCAGAATATTCAAGTGACTGGACATTTAGTTTAGGTTTCTGTATTTATGAATCTCTAGTAAAAATTGATGGCCTTGGATACAGGCTGCTTTTGACAAATGTTAGTTTTGTCTTGAATAAAATCTCATTTAGACATCACATGGTGATGGATAAATGGGCATGTATTACGAAACCTGATTTGGCAGTGATGAAGCAATAGCTTTGTGAGAAATTTGCCTTCCTAAATTTCAGGTCCATCAACAGCTGAAGTGTTGTGGCTGGGATGATGGTGGCAATGACTGTGCATGGAATGTTTGCTGTGATTAGATGTGCTGCTCTGCTGGTGCTTGGACTAGAAAAGGATTATTTGAATAACTTTGAGTCAGACCTATATATGGAGCAGAAATAGTGTTCCAATCCTCTGATGGCTCTAGAGGATTTGCACTGGGTTCCTGAAGGTGTGTGTGCGGGGGTGCCCTTCTTTGTCTTATTGGAGCTTGCGTAGTTTTTTATACCATGCCCTTGGTTCCCTACTGGATTGCCTAAAAGGACTGGGGGCTGGAGGAACCATTTTATAGGAATGGGTAGTGAAACATTTGACTACAGTGAGGGAAAAAATTATTTGATCCCCTGCTGATTTTGTACGTTTGCCCACTGACAAAGAAATGATTTTTAATGGTAGGTTTATTTTAACAGTGAGAGACAGAATAACAACAAAAAAAATCCAGAAAAACGCATTTCCAAAAAGTAATAAATTGATTTGCATTTTAATGAGTGAAATAAGTATTTGACTCCTTCACAAAACATGGCTTAGTACTTGGTGGCAAAACCCTTGTTGGCAATCACAGAGGTCAGACGTTTCTTGTAGTTGGCCACCAAGTTTGCACACATCTTCTTTGCAGATCCTCTCCAAGTCATTAAGGTTTTGAGGCTGAGGTTTGGCAGTTCGAACCTTCAGCTCCCTCCACAGATTTTCTATCAGATTAAGGTCTGGAGACTGGCTAGGCCACTCCAGGACCTTAATGTGCTTTTTCTTGAGCCACTCCTTTGTTGCCTTGGCTATGTGTTTTGGGTCATTGCCATGCTGAGATACCCATCCATGACTCATTTTCAATGCCTGGCTGAGGTAAAGGAGGTTCTCCTTTACAATCTTGCCTGACATCCTTGGACAGCTCTTTGGTCTTGGCCATGGTGGAAAGTTTGGAATCTGATTGCTTCTGTGGACAGGTGTCTTTTATACAGGTAACAAGCTGAGATTAGAAGCACTCCCTTTAAGAGAGTGTTCCTAATCTCAGCTCGTTACCTGTATAAAAGATACCCAGGAGCCAGAAATCTTGCTGATTGATAGGGGATCAAATACTTATTTCACTCATTAAAATGAAAATCAATTTATAACTTTTTTGAAGTGCATTTTTCTCGATTTTTTTTGTTATTCTGTCTCTCACTGTTAAAATAAACCTACCATTAAAATTATAGACTGATAGTTTCTTTGTCAGTGGACAAACATACAAAATCAGCAGGGGATCAAATATTTTTTTCCCCTCACTGTAACTTTTCCATGCTACTTTTGAATAGGAAGCCACCAGAAGTCATCTGCTGGTCATGCATGAAGTATATATTGATAATACTCAAATCTGTACTGCTATTTCAGACTGAAGTAAAGATGCAATGGAAATCCTAGCCCAGTGTCTGGAAACCTCTGGCATTTGGAAAAAAAATCATATTTAGTCCAAGAAAGAGTTGCTTTTTGTTCAGAATGATTGTGATTTGAGATAGTCCCAGTATTACTTCTGGACAAATAGTTTAGGACTCTCTTCCTAAAAGGAGTTGGTCTGAAATTTTGGGTTATTTTGATAGTTGCTAGTGGAATAACAGATGGGAACCTGAACTAGCCTTACCTACCTAAGGCTAGTGAATCAGTTGTGGTCGTATTTGAACTAGGATGCTTTGTCCAGAAACTGCTTGGCTGCCTTTGGAAACCATTCGAAAGCTACATCCAGATTATGAATGGCTGCTATGAAAATATTACACATAATTTCCAGTTGCTGCATTGGTTATCAATAGGCTGCCAAGTGCAGTTCAAATAATTGGTTTTGACTTATATATCTTGGCTCCAGGGTTCCTTAGGGACCATTTCCTCTAATGGAAGCTATCTGGCACATCTATGCATGCAGGGTCTTCTCCCTTGTAGTCTTCAGTGAATGTAGATCTGAATGCTGGCCTATAGTATAGGGTCTCTATATTCTGTTATATCTTGTATTGGATATATACATATGAACTACACATACATAAAAATATATAAAACGTTATGTATTTTATAAAAGGTACAAAATATTTGTAATACATTAGTAAAAAAAACATAAATCAGGAAAGCAGAAACCATTAGCCTCAAAAATGATGATTTAATTTAATATCAATTTCACTACTTTGTCAGGAAGATAATTTTTATATTAAGAGTATTATATAACAGTGTATCAGCTACTGTTGTAAGATTCATTTTATTTACCTGTAGTTGATGATATCTGAGTAACCCAATCTCCATTCTAAAGTCTCTGTGGTGAACTCATCTGTGTTGCCAAGATCAGTAAATCCAACCACATAATCTTGAGTTTTTCCATCTTTTATTAGTGCTAATGTGGGAATTATCTTGATGTGAAGTCTCTCACAAAGAAATGGTGATTTTTCAGCATTTAACTTGATAAACTTAGTCTCAATATGCTTTTTTGCAAGTATTGTTAAGTGCTTATCTAATATTAAGCATCTGAGGAAAAATAAAAACATTTAACACATTAAATAGTGAAATCTGAAGTCACTTTTTGTTTTCTAGCTCAAGTAAAGCTGTGCAAAACATTTGAAGTGTGTTTTCATGTTTCTGCATACCTAGTTGCTTCACTAGCAGCAACAGCTGAAATGTTTTCTCCACATATATGCATATAAATGCACAAAGCCCTTTGAATGAACCAAGTGAATATGGTTGTTTTAACATTTTCAAGACGGGCACTTCAGGAAGACCCCTTCAAATGCTTTGCACCACCTAAAAACACCACAAGTGCTATTTTAGTCATTTTCCCATGCCAATGGTAATATAGTCATAGAAACAAAGTTAAAATGGTCTTATATGTAATCTAATCCAACCCCCTTTTCAGTAAAGGAATCTATTAAACCATCCTTAACAGTTTGTCATCCTATTACCACCAATGGTAATTCATAAAATCAAAGTTAAAATGGACTCGTTAGTAATCTAATCCAACCCCCTTTTTCAGCAAAGGAATCTATTAAACCATCCCTGAAAGTTGTCATTCTGTCTGTTTGAAAAGGAGTGAAACAAGGTCCATTATTGTTTTAGGTACAGTATTCTGCTACTTAAGACCTCTTACCTTCAGGAAAATGTTCCTTATACAGATATAATTAAATATTAAAATCAGCAGGTAGATATCAACCACATACCCAAAATTTATTTTACAACTTCCCTTAATTTTGCCTTTGGGAGCTGATACTGTGAAAAATGCAACAACTGGATCTGAAAGTTATCTTAGATCATTGCCATCAGAACTTTGAGATAAATCTTTCAGATAATTGTCCTTAGAATCACCGAACTGTTTCTTATCTTCAACAAACTATTATCAACTTCCTTGATTATGGTTTGGCATGATATGGAGAATCAATATATTATAGTTATTCAAGAAACAACAGCTAAACAAAATACTATATTGTGAATGCAGTTACAATTATGATTAGAAACTTATAGCTAGTTTTATAAAGGGCTCCTAAATTTAAAAATATGGCAATTCTATGCATTAACTAGAAAGGAATTTCAACTTAACAATGAGATTTATTTCTGAATAACCACTAAAGTGTTAATCATATCTAACTTGAACAATAACAACAGACAGTTACAGTTCAGCCGACTCTGATTTATGTTTTTATTGAGGAATAATGGTTCTTTCCATGCCTATGTTATAAGATGAACATTGATTCACTTTAAGAAGTTAAATTGCTAAAAAGATACACTAAACTCAGTCAGTACTAGGAAAAGAGTTTCCAAATTTTCTGAGATCTCTTCAACAAATGATTTTAGCAAAGATTACCTGAAGGTTGAATCTTTATAAAAATGACAGACCACATTTTTGCTCCCTTTTACTTCTTGAAAAAATTCTCGTTCACTGGGGATTTCTCGATATTCTCCATGTCCTTTTGAAAGCCATTCCTATTAATAAGAATACAAAGTTTTATACTTGATGCCATGAAAGAAATCATTCCTTGAAATGTTGCACATAAGATTATATTTCTACAATTATTCTGTGAGGACAAGTTCTACTATGTCTAACCACCTGATGAATCCAAATCCCAACTTCAAAGTTGCATTGGTGGTAATTTTAGCATTTCTGATTTGCTTTGAAGTTGGTAAATGTTAGTTCCAAAATGAATCATATATTTAAATAAAAAGCACTTCAACATTTATTATAAATCATTTCCAAAACTAAAAGGACTAGAACAGAAAGTGTGCATTCCAAAAAACAATGTTTTAATGGTTAATACTCTTAATATGAAGTAAATTCCCAGTGGAATCATGCGCATATTTGTTCCAACTTATCCGCCAATTATATTCAGGAATTATATAGGTCTGCAACCATTGTGTATTCGTACAGTAATTTAATTAGTCACAAATATCTGTATTCCAAATATCACTTCCACTCTAAAATTCTTGAAGCCATTTTAGTGATATAGGAACTGCAATTACTTAGTTTGTATTTGAGTTACATTGCAAGTATAAATTATATCAAATTCACTTTTTCACTTCATCTTTATTTTTAAAACTGTGGCCTCGTGCATACTACTCAAGCTCAAGGGTAACCATTTGGCTCCCAAAAACTGTTCATGAATTTTTTAGCAGAAAAAACTCAATCTAACCTTTCATAAAGATTTTCAACTACACTTGTGTATATTCCTGAGTTTTTTTATATCACAACACTTATTGATTTTGATAATTGTAATGACTCAGGAAGTCTTAAGATATGTATAGACTGGGCACAAGAAGATATTATTATATTGTTTTTCATCCACTATATGGAAAATAATGAAAGGACAATTTTGGCTTTGGCAGGAATTGTTCAACACTTGAAGAATCTGTCAGCCAATGTCAAAAGAATTCAAGAAGCTAGAATGTTATAGCAGCTAGTCCAATGCCTAACTACAGGGAATCAGATAGTCTAAGTCAGGGCTTTTCAACCAGTGGTACGCGTACCACTTGTGGTACTTTGCCACATGGCAGCTGGTACCTGATTGCTAGCCAAGTGTAGCAGGGGAGGGGAATGAGCCAAAGTGAGCCAAGCCTGAGGGAGAGGCAGCTGCAGCTGCAGGACTGTCTGGGCTTGGCAGAAGCCCCAGGAGCTGGCAGGGCTCCAGCTGACTGGCGCTTCCAAAAGCAGCTTGGAGCTGGAGGTGAACTGAAGAAAAAAAAGGGGGGGGGAGAGGAGAGACTATAAAAGAATGTGGTTTGGGTGGGAGAAGGGGAAAAAAGACACCAGGAAAGGTTTAATCCCTTTAAACAAATGTAATTATATGAGCCGAGGTGGCGCAGCAGTTAGAGTGCAGTACTGCAGGCCACTTTAGCTGACTATGTTCAGCAGGTCAGCGGTTCAAATCTCACCGGCTCAAGGTTGACTCAGCCTTCCATCCTTCCGAGGTAGGTAAAATGAGGACCCAGATTGTTGGGGGCAATGTAAATATATATATATACATTGCTTACTGGTGTACACCACTTAGAGAGTGCTTGCACTTAAAGCGGTATATAAGTCTCATAAATAAATAAATAAATAATTAGTTTTACCCCCTTTAACTGAATCTGTCTGTGGCTTTTAGAAAGTTGTCTTTGAAGGTAAACAGGCTTAATTTAAAGCTGAAGCTTTTTGCAATTGCCCGAGCCTTTCAGTCAAGGATTGCAACATTGTGACATGTGACACGCCTGAGGCAGCTTAAAGAGAAAAAAAAAACGGGAATTTGTGTTTCTTTATTTTCTAGCTTTGCACTTGATTCCTGTGTCTTTTAAGGGTACAGGGAAGGGATTGGAAAAGCTCAGAAGGGCCAACCAGCTAGATCAGGAATCTACAAATTTAGCAACTTTAAGACCTGTGGACTTCAACTCCCAGAATTCCTCAACCAGCCATGAGGGCTGAGGAATTCTGGGAGTTGAAGTCCACAAGTCATAAAAGTACCAAGTTTGAATTCATCATACATTTGTCAGTGCAAAAGGAAAGTGATTCAGCAAAGGAACAGTGACAGAAGAAATTAAAACTGGTTCTTTTTTTCTACAGTTTGTAATATTTTATTAGATTATAGAATAAAATACAAAAATACAAAAGCAAATAGTAGGACACAGTGGGGAGGAAAAAGGGGGGGGAAGTGAGGGGAGAAGGGAAAAAGAACATACTTCCTCTGTTGCAGTAGAAGGAAGCATTAACACTGAACCTCAACTTTACTTTTGCATAATATTATAAACCCCTTTATGAATTACTGCCTTGTCGTGGCTAAGGGGCTTGCGTAACTCATTGAAGCTATAAGCTATGCCGTGCAGGGCCACCCAAGACAGACAAGTCATAGTAGAGAGTTCTGACAAAATGTGATCCACTGGAGAAGGAAATGGCAAACCATTCCAGTATCTTTGCCATTAAAACCCCATGGACAGTACTAAAAGGCAAAAAAATATGACGCTGGAAGATGAGCCCCTCAGGTTGGAAGGTGTCCAATATGCTACTGGGGAAGAGCAGAGGGCTAATACTAGTAGCACCAGAAAGAATGAAGCGACTGGGCAAAAGCTGAAAGGCCGCTCAGCTGTGGATCTATCTGGTGGTGAAAGGAAAGTCCAATGCTGTAAAAATCTTTTCTCCATAGCAGTGGTTCTCAACCTTTTTAATGCCGTGACCCCCAACCGGTTGTAAGTCGAGGACTACTCAACCGGTCGTAAGTCGAGGACTACTCAATGGGTTCAGCACCGTTTGCAGAATGGGACTTTTGGCGGGCTCAGCAGGGCAGAGACAGCCTGGACAATTCCTATTGGCTTTTGAAAGCCAATGGAATTAGACTCTATTCAAGAGAGTCTATTCTATTGGCTTTCGAAAGCCAATAGAATAAAAGGGAGTAGCACAGCTAAGGAAAAGGGGGGAAAAAATGGCAGACTGCGTTGTTTGGCGACCCCCGTGAAACGGTCGTTCGACCCCAAATGGGGTCCCGACCCACAGGTTGAGAACTGCTGCTCCATAGGAACCTGGAATGTAAGATCCATGAATCAAGGCAAGCTAGACGTAGTCAAAAAAGAGATGACAAGACTGAACATTGATATCTTAGAAATCAGCGAACTAAAATGGACAGGAATGGGTGAATTTAACTCAGGTGACCATCAGGTATACTACTACGGGCAAGAATCCCTCAGAAGAAATGGAGTAGCCTTCATAGTCAATAAAAGAGTAGGAAAAGTAATACTGGGATACAATCCCCAAAATGACAGAATGATCTCAATTCGAATCCAAGGCAAACCATTTAATATCACAGTAGTCCAAATCTATGCCCCAACCACTGGTGCTGAAGAGGATGAAATTGACCGGTTCTATGAAGCCCTACAGCACCTTATAGAATTAACACCAAAAAATGATGTCCTTATCGTCATGGGGGACTGGAATGCTAAAGTAGGAAGCCAAAAGATAACCGGAATAATAGGTAAGTTTGGCCTTGGAGTACAAAATGATGCCGGGCACAGGCTGATAGAATTTTGTCAAGAAAATATGATGGTCATAACAAACACTCTTTTCCAACAACCCAAGAGATGGCTCTACACATGGACATCACCAGACGGTCAACACAGAAATCAGATTGACTATGTACTCTGCAGCGAAAGATGGAGAAGCTCTATACAGTCAGTAAAAACAAGACTAGGAACTGACTGTGGCTCAGATGGGGCGTTGTCTTACCTGAACGTCTTTTCTCAGCATGAGGAATGTAGAATCCACGAATGGGTTTTAGAAGTCCTCTAGCCCATTTAGACCAATCAATCAAAGTTGCCACGCCCCTGCAGGGTCTGACCATGCCCCAGTTTCAAAAAAGGGCGAAGCCAATGATTGTGTAACGTGATGGCTCCTGAATTGCTGACACTGACCTGACTGCTAAAGTGAACAGGGAGGGGGTGGATTCTACATTCCTCACGCTGAGAAAAGGCATTCAGGTAAGACAACGCCCCTTCTCCAGCATATAGAGGAATGTAGAATCCATGAATGGGACATACCAAAGTTCCTATGAGCCCATGGGTGGGATGCAGGCCGGTGAAGTGTCGATGTTGAAATGGACCACCTGCTGTAAGACCTGGCGGCTGAATGCGGCCTCTGCAGAAGCAAACTTGTCGAGCTTGTAATGACATATGAAAGGTGAAGGGGATGACCACGTCGCCGCCCTACAGATATCAGCTATGGAAGTCTGAGTTTGCCATGCTGTTGATGTGGAAGCGCTACGCGTAGAGTGTGCCATTAAGCGGCTTTGAACTGGTAAAGAATAGGCCTGGTAAGATTCAACAATACAGGCCTTAATCCACTGGGCAATAGTAGAAGAGGAGACCTTCTGCCCTTTGGAACCTGCATGGAAGGAGACAGAGAGTGCCTCCGATTTATGAAAAGGGGCAGTCCTCTTAAGGTAATGACGCAGTGCCCTGCGCACGTCCAGGGAATGCCACTGCCATTCCCGTGCGTGGGAAGGATTGGGACAGAAGTTCGGCAGAACGATTTCCTGGGCCCGGTGAAACAGTGCATTCACCTTGGGGATGAACAGGGGATCCAATCGCAGTACCACTCTGTCCTGGTGGAAGGCACACGGGTCTTCCCTAACAGAAAGAGCAGCCAGTTCAGAAACCCACCTTGCCGATGTGATGGCCACCAGGAAGGCCACCTTATGGGACAAATAACGAAGAGAGCAAGATCTGAGAGGTTCAAAGGGAGGTCCCGTAAGAGCCTGTAGAACTCGGGGCAGCTCCCAAGAGGGGTACCGATGTACTACAGAGGGTCTGCTATTGGTGACTCCTTTGATAAAGGATTGAACCCTTGGGTGATGAGACAACGGCGTGGAGTTAGCACAGGTGAATACCGTGGAAAGCACGGCCACCTGCCTACGGATAGTGTTGGGCGCCAAGCCCATATCCACTCCATCCATAAGGTATTCAAGAATTCT